CAAGTTGAAGGAGGGAAGATTTAGGTTGGATGTTAGGGGGAAGTTCTTTACAAGGAGAGTGGTTAGGCCCTGGAACGGGCTGCCCAGGAAGGTTGTGGATGCCCCGTCCTTGGACGTGTTCAAGGCCAGGTTGGACGGGATCCTGGGCAACCTGATCTGAATGTGTGTGTTTGGTGGCCCTGCTAGGCAGGGGGGTTGGAACTACATGATCCTTGAGGTCCCTTCCAACCCGGGTGATTCTGTGATTCTGTGTGATTCTGTGTGATTCTTAGACTCCTTCTTACCTGTGGCTTGTGCAGCATTCAGGATGGTTTCTCTGTAGGCTATCTGAAGTGGTCCCAAATATGTCTCTATTCCATATTCACGTTTGATTCGGTCATGAATGATCTCTATATGCAGTTCTCCCATGCCACAAAGAATGGTCTAATGAGATGACAGTTAAGAGAGAGGCAGAAGAACATAGAAAACTCAGGTTTTCATAAGAACTGTTTAAACAAGGGCTCATGGGCTCTTAATACCTTCTTAAAAATATTTCAAATTCTAAGGAGCCTTGAGAAAAAAAACGACGGGACTACTTGATGTCATGCAAGAAACATCCTAAGTGACACAGCAATTCCTGTTGTAAAACCACTAGGTAAAAGAACATCTTACATTAGCTTAAAGATTATGTAATTCAAATTCTTTAACTTCGTGAAGAACTCTCAAAACATGCAGAAAATAGGATGACCTCCTTTACTCTGTAAAGTATATGCACACAAGGTTCAATTTTAGCTTGTTTAGAGGCTCACAGCTTTGTACCTACACGATACGAACACTGAGATAAGCTTTTCATTCACAGTAATCTAAGTACGTAAACTAACTGAAGAGTGGTCCTGACAGTTCTAAAATAAAGTTTAATTACAAGGTGAGGAATAGAAGATTCATCTTACCTGTCCTGTGTCAGGATCTATTTTCACTTTCAAACTTGGATCTTCACGCTGAAGGCAGCTCAATGCATTATCCAAGTCTGTATATAAACAACAAACACCATATCCAAAGAGGCTTCAGTAATTTGAGAATCACAGTGAATCCCTAAACAACACTTTCCTTGTAGGGTCATATCTTATTCTCAGAAGTAGTCTAAAGGACCCTAGAGAAGCATGTATTTTTGTAGACACTCAACTCAAATTACACACAACTTGCAACTTCTTTCCAACAAATTAACTGCATGCTAGAGAGCTTCTGTAACTGATTAGTCTTCCTAAATAGCAAAACACCAAGCAAAAGCTGAACAATCTCCATGCAACATTTAGAGACAGAAGCTTTTGAATAAAATGATCTCACTTAAAAATAATAGCTTAAAGGAAAAATAACCTGTTTAAATTCTATCATGAAAAATACATTTCTCCAAGTCATATTTTACACTTGTATAAAGACACATATGAAAATTTAAGTGTTTCACCAAACAGTAAAAAGCACCATTCCCTTTTTACAGATGAGAAAAATAGCTGTCTTATATGATTTACCTACATTTTTACAGATGAGTTCAACAAGAAGTTAAAATGCAAATATTTTTTTCTGATTCCCCATTATGTTGTACAAGTGGCAATGAAAACAGCTATAAAAAAGAGCAATGATGGAAAAATAAACTCACAGCTGAAACTGCATTTATCTACTTCACAGAATTTGGGGAAAAAAAAAAAACAAACACCGTGACAGAAACAACTTGCAACCCAGCAGCTCAGACTGCAAGACAGTTGGTGCAAAATACACATTCTACCTAGCTCCATGCCATCATACTACAGTGGTACTTATTTTTCTTTTGCCTTTACCCTCCAACCATGCTCAGCTTTGTTGGAATGTCAATAGATGGTAAAAACTTTCAAACAGGTTCTCTGGTATAGATTTTTGTGGAAGACAGTAAGATTAAAGGTCACACTGCATAGATAAACCCTAACTAGACATACAGCAGTTTTGGTAAGAGGAGACTTTGCACCACACTATAAAACTGTGAATGCTGTCGGAAAAAAAGCACAGGATAGCTCAAGGCTAGCTGTACAGAGACACTGCACAGCATCCTCCCATAACTACAGCAAAACAAAGCATGATAATAAGAAAGGAAGGAGAAAACTTCCCATAGGGAAGGGAGCATATGTACAGGAGGGGGAACAGCTGTTTATGAGGGTGGATAGTTATAGGACAAAGGGAAATGGTTTTAAACTGAGACAGAGGAGGTTTAGGTTAAATATTAAGAGGAAGTTTTTCATTTAGAGGGTGGTGATGCACAGGTTGCCCAAGGAGGTTGTGGATGCCCCATCCCTGGAGGCATTCAAGGCCAGGCCGGATGTGGCTCTGGGCAGCATGGTTTCATGGCTGGCGACCCTGCACATAGCAGGGGAGTTGAAACTAGATAATCACCGAGGTCCTTTTCAACTCAGCCTGTTCTATGATCCTATGAGACAAATGCCTCTATGGCTTCAAAATTAAGAATTATGGCTTTTCTGAAACACAAAAATCACTGGAGTAGTAATAGCAAAGAGTACTGACAGCCACAGTCTAAAAGGCCTTTCCTCCTCTGCAGCTACACTGTACCTTGTTGCTTGGCCATTGAAGGAGGTTCAATGGTACAGAAGAAGACAGGCTCCGGAACCTCAACACCTGCCAGCAGAAGTCTCTCCACGTTACTGGTGTTCCTCTGCTCTCCCCCAGCACTCCTTCCAGCTTGGCGTGCTGCAGCTACAGCTGAAGCTTTTGATGACACTAGCGTATCTCCAGTGGCACTCTACAGATCAGTTCCCAGTGATTCCATAAGAGAGGAAGCAGCAGGGGATGGGGGGTTGTTAAAATGAAACCACAGTCATAGAGAACAGTACATCGGTATATGAAAACGTGCTTATGCATTCCAGAATAGCTTACATTTTGGAAATTCTGGGCAAATGATATCTATCCAGATTGCTCAGGCACTGAAACACTTTGGGAGCGTGAAACAAGTATATTTCAACTTAAACTGCTGTTTTTTTTTTTAAATGAACTTTCAATATCACCCTGAGGCCTCCCTAGGGCATTACGCAGCATTGGCATCGTGAGAGTTACATTATAGATAAAAGGTTAGAACCCTACTAAAATACAATGTCCTGAGGTTCAGCTCTTTCCACATATCAGCACAGACTTTCTCACATCATTTATTTACATGTCTGCACTGTAATTTTTCAGATTAGGAGGAAGTAATTATGTATACTTAAAATAATGCAAATTTGCATATGTAAAAACAATCAAGATATACTTGAGATACAGAAGCACAGAGGGGAAAGACACACTAGTAAAACAAGCTTTCTTTAAAAATAAGTATTTTCAATTACCTGTTTTAAGCCAACAGCAAGGGCAATGTTTCCAGGCATTAGTGATGGTATTTCAATTTGTTGATCAGCAAAAGGCAAGAGCAGACGGCTCATTCTCTCCCTGTACATTAAATCATTTAATTGTTCATGACTTCAACAGACATCCAAATGCTACACTAACCCACAGCCTGCTTGTACTCACGTGCAACTTTTGTTAATATTATATACAGCCGACTGAGGTTTCAGTGAACCTGAATAAATGCGAATGAAAACTAATGGTCCACGACACTTATCATGGAGAACTTTAAATGCCAGGGCACACAGGTCATCATCATTGTACCAGTGTCTGCAAAACAGAAGCCACAACAAAAAGCACACTTGTAGGACTAGCCCACTTCAAACCCACTCTTATATAATTGTCCACTCACTTAAGAACCTGTATATGTCTAATTGCAATATTAGCAGAGACATTTTAAATATACATTTTAGATATGCTAACTTCAGCTTACCCAATTCTACCATTCTAAAATATGGCAGAGGTCATGTGACTCAACCAATACTAGAGATGATCCCTGGACTCCAGCACTCCAACTGTAAAATGTCAGTATTCTCAGACTAAAAGACTGGAACTCTAATTGCACAGCAGGTTCAGTACTTGGTAGCTTTTAGGTCTGCACATCTGTACTGTTATTTAACAACTAAAACCAGTAAGCATTTGCAAAGATATCAGTGGTCAATGTTATTTTCTCTCTTTGCACTTTCTCTACTTGCTTTTCCTTTTCGTTGACCCTCCCTTTCTTACTCCACTTACAGAAACTCATAGGAACGCTCATGAGGTGCGGGCAAATACATAGTAATAGCATCCAGTAACGGCTGCACTCCCCTGTTCTTCAGTGCACTGCCACAGAGCACTGGTACAGCCTTCTGAGCTAGGGTGACTCTGCGTATAGCAGACCGTAGCTGCAAAAAAAGAAAGAAAAGAAAAAAGAAAAAAGGCTTTCTGTTGAGTTGTGAACAGCATTTTAACTTCAGCATTCCAGCTACCAGATATTACTATCAGATTTTGCTCAAGTACTGAGGAAATGACAAACTCTTTTATAGATTTTTTTTTCTTTACAGAAAAAAAATTAACAAAGAATGTTCACTACTGGTAAATAGTGCCTTTTTAAACTTCATTAAGCATGACAATAAGACTATTAATGTGTAAAAAATGCCCAAGGACAATCTAACAGACTTCAAACATTGTACTCAAGTACATGTCAAGTACCACTTTGACATGTAAGTTATTACCATGTAATCAGCAGGCTTTGCAGTTAGCAGTAATTGTTCATAAAGTGATTCCAGAAACTGGGAATAAGCAGGTTATAGCAAGTAATGCACACAACACTGAGTAAAAAAGATGACTGGAGCTACCATGTTTGTCTTGGGCAGCAGTGTCTGCACGGACAGTACACTGTGCTGTTGCAGGGCAGTGCCATCTGCAAGCACATGGGTGGCTCATGGACAACCAAGCTACTTATCAGAACTGCTGTCAGTAAATGCTCTTGCATGCACAGTGCTGCCCAACAGCTCCCATTGGCTGGAGACAGCCTGCAGAGGCCCAGTTCTCAAGTCCAGTAAAGACTAGTTGCTTCATTAAATTACTCACAAGGATCCTGTTTCAAGATTTTAAACAACGGTGATTTTTGCTTATGTCTTTTCATTTGAAGATGTTAATCACACTGATTATAAGCTTTGCCAGCTTCTACTCCTCCATTTAAAAGTACCTATGCTCTGTTGTTTTAGTACAGTCATTATATCGTGTTGCATTTATAAGTTCTCATCTTTCCTATGTAACAATTTTATTGAGAAAGCCCATTTATTCCAGTACAAATTTGACAGGCATCAATATGTTATTTATAGACAAGAATAATTAATTTATTCACTTCTATCAATTAAAAAAATATTTTAGCAAGGCTACCATTTTCCAGTCAGAGCATGCGAGACTGTGCTACCAAACTGAAACTACAAAAAAACCACCCTTTTTTATTATGAAAGTTTTGCCTCACCAGTTTCAACATGTAGTGTCTCAAGAGCCAACCAACTCCTAGTGACTGAAATGCTACTTTTGTTAATGAGACTCTGTAGCTCAGACACACCGGGCTGATCCTATCTGGAAATTTCATTTGTGTTTCTCTAAAGTTTTTTGCAGCAGCCTGTCAATGAAGATCACCCATAAAGGTTGAACTGTTACAGCTGTGCCCTGCATGTTTGAGAATTAGCATTAATATATGATCGCATACAATTCATATTAAGCTTGAATGTATCTTGTCCTAAGTTCACAATACCATAGAATCACTACAGAAGCTGGTGAATGCACAACTGTAAAACCATATCTGCACATGCCAAAGGCAAAGTAGTCTCAACCTTCAAAATGACAGTGAAAATTTATTTATAAATAACAAAAGGTAAACATTACCTTGTTGGATGGTACTAGGTCAAAATTTTCGCTGTGTTCTCCTAGAATCAGTTCAGCAAATTCATCATCCAGATCTGCAACCTTCAATAGAATAGTTCTGCCTTATTATTTGGTAGACAGTAGTTTCCACATTGGTCACAAATCTTAGATAGTTAGAAAATACAGCAAAATAGAGAAGGAATTAAGCTTTTAAAGATATCGGAGATCATAAACTTAAGCAACACAGAAGATACATTTCACATCTCCTATCTCAACTCAGTTATTATAAATTTTCTTTTCAGATTTATGAATATCACTTAAATTTCACATTAAAAAATAAATCCTTCACTTGTATTACAGAATGTCACTTATAAGCAAAACTGTTTAATCCCTCTCTCAATAATGCAACTATTGTGAGAGCTAAGCAAAGCATGTTAAATTATCTTCTAAAATGCAGTATTTAATTATATTCTACTTGACAGCATAAGCTAGATAGGACAAGCTTTTGCTGTCCTTCCCAGTGTTTAAGGCTTTTATACTGCTTCTGCAGAATTAATCTCCTCTGAAGGAGAAAAGCAAGAGCCTTTACAGAACCAGTTTTACAGAGAAAATTATGCAAATACTAGTTTCAAAAAAGCACAAGGGAAAAGAAAAGTCATCATCTTAAAGCTACTGTCAGGCATGACATCAGTAGGAGAAAGAATGTTGGGATGTGTCCCCAAAAAAATGAAAAAGCCTGCAGCTGTATTCGACAGCCATGGAGGGCACAACTGAATAGACTTTGAACTTAAAAAAAAGCTGAAATCTGAACTAAGCAGAAAGTGACTTTTGTGAGCCAGTGAATGCAGCTAGGAAAAAAAAAAAACAACAAAAAAAACCAACAAAACAACAGATAAGCCTTCAGGGTATTTTGACCTTCTTCCTGTCAGAAGCTTGGAGGTCTAAGAGATCATCTGTGTTTTCAAACTGTTCTAATTAGCTTATTAATTAAACATATTTCAAACCTTGAGTCACATACACCATTGCTCCACTGCACATCCACTGAGGTACTATGCTCCCTTCAGTAGCTACAACAGGAATTGACCAAATATTGAAACAAATCTTTGATAAGCAATTAGAAGTCTAATTAAGCCAACAGATAAAACATGAGAGAGAGAGAAAAAAGTCTTGTGTTTATTTGGTTAAATAGAAGCCAAATTTACCAGAGATGACCAGTAGTCAGATTACTAAATTTTACATTTTAAATTTTTGTTAAAAATAAGCATTATTAAAGTAGAGCAAAAAATATTTTAGGAATAGGAGGTTATCTGAATTATTACACTACTGGGCCACCTCATCCTACTTCAGGAAGGGCCCAGAAGCTAAAGAAAAAAAAATACAATAAAAAAAAAAAAAAGATTAAAAACCCACTTTTCTTATCCTGATTTCTATCTGAGATTCCTTAAGAGCAGAGGCTGAGCAACAACATTCCCATTTAAAACCTGAATATTCTGAAAACGAGGTGTATTTCACTGAACTCAGAGCACATCAAAATGGATCACACGGACTGATGTTTCACGTGGAACAGAAAGCCCAGCATCACCTATCATATCTAGCAATATGTGATCCAAATTCGCATGGAAGGCAGTTCTCAAATGGAACAAAACCTCTGACAAACATAACTGTTAACTTCTTGTATTTTTGCATATATAGCACTACGTTTGGATGTAACTGCTACTACATTTCTAAGGCTGTATAAAAGCAATTAAAGTTCTAGGCTGTTCTAAAGTTCTAAGATGGCAAAAGACGCCATGTGAACCAACTTGATACTAAATTTAGGGTCTATTTTTAGGAGCTCACTACTTATGAAATGTGCAAAATGGCAAATACTCCCTAAGTAACATCCAGCAACATCCATATTAAGCATGTTCTGCCATCACATGTCACAATATGCACTAAAAGTCTTTTATCAAAGAAAAGCAAATAAAGAAAATCTGAAATCGGTTTATCAAGGACAAACGCAGTACCTTGCACCTGTGACAACACAAGTCTATGTACTAACACAGAATGGGGATCAAACACCTAGAAAGTAGGCCTGTGGAGCTAAAGACAACTTCAGGTCCTGCTTGACCAGTGAAAACAAATCAGCAACACACCCTCTGACAAATGCTAACTGCAAAATGGGCTGTATCAGCAAGAGTACTGAGTGGATAAAGGCAAGCAGTTATCACTAGCTTCTCACCTTCTATTTGTGAAGCTACATCTTAGACGCTGTGGTTTTAGGTTTCCCAGCACAAAAGAAAGACAAACAGTGGGAAATCCAACTGAAAACCACAAGGTGCTATGTCAGAACACAGTGGGACACCCTCAGAGATGAGTGTGTCTAACTTGGGAAGGAGGTAGGACAAGGAGCATTGCCATAACAACTCAGGAAATTTCCATATAGACAAAAAGAAATAATGTGTTTGCAAAAATGATCAAACACTGGGATGTTGCCTTGAAAGATGAAATTTCCATCCTTAGGAACCTGAAAGCACAGCTGAACAAGGGCCAGAGCAACCCGCTCTAAAGCTGAAATTAGCCCTGTTTTTAGCAAATCACTGCACTAGATGCCTTCAAAGGTCCCTTTGTTCTAAATAACTGTTTTAAATGCATTATGCATTTACTTTAGAACTTTACTTGTTCTATTAAGGTATTTCTAGCATCCTGGACTTCTTGGAACAGGCTGGGATTATCCGACTCTATCAGTGGCTTTTGCTCAAAAAATATGCCATCATCCAAATCAGATGTAGGTTTCCAAATGATTTGCTCCTTAGTCACAACATCAACCAGTCCTCTGAAGGTTTTGGCTTCCCCAATGGGCAACTGAAAGTAGAACAGAAATTTTAGAGAGTTGAAAAATAATAAAGGTGTTCAATTAAAAAGAAATGCAGGTAAATTTCTAAGCTTACCTGTAAAATCAAAGGTTTTGTCTTCAACTTTTGTTTGATACTCTCAACAGCATATGCAAAACTGTATTAAAACAACAGATATTGTTACAACAAATGTAATGATATAGTAAAAAAGTTTACTCTTATTTGTTGTAAGAAGTACTTCCACAATTACACGACATATGTAACCAAACAATTAAAGATGTGTACAGCACATATTAACATAAAACACCAGTTCTGTGCTCAACAGAACATCTTCAACTTGATCAGAAACGTTCTCTTATGATGTTTTTAACAGTGATTAAAACAACTGTATGAATACCTTGCCCTGTTTTTGTCCATCTTGTTCAAAAAGCAGATTCGTGGTATCTGATGTTTGTCAGCTTGTCTCCACACTGTCAGAGTTTGGGCCTACACAAAAAGGCAAAACGGTAACGTTAGTATTGACAGAGCAACTACATACACATTTCCTTAGATGAGAGGTCAAGCATCTTTTCTTCATCTTGTGTTCCTGCTGCTAAGAGACTGAGCTCAGAGTAAGAGAAGGGAATTGTGCTGAATGCGTTGTGACAAGCCTTTATCTAGACAGAGGAGCTCCAGAAGCAGCTCTGTCACAGCTCTTCCTTCCTCTGTTGTCTTTCCTCCACTAAGGGTACAGAGGAAAGAGAACAGGGAGAGAAGATAAGCACTGCATGGGATCTACAATGAAGTTATTCACTGGAGTGTGGTAGCCTACACTTAAGGCTTAAGATACTGCCAAAACACTTATACATGTACTCATGCTACACAGAGGACACAAAAAAATTAGTGTGGTTGAGCTAATTATTGACATACTGCTGAGTCATTTTTGAGGCTCATTCAAAGCTAAAACAGGTATGCAGGAAAATCAGTGCAGATTTAGGAATAGTCTGCTATCAGCAGATGCAAATAATACACTTCCTACATGTTTTCAGAAAAAAACAGAACAAAACAAAACACAAGCAGCTCTAATTTTTTGTTGTTGATGGCTGTGGAGGGTTTCAGGCTCATACACGACACTAAGTAATGCTTTCCAGTAGTATGTTAAAAATGTGACTAACACTGACCAAGACTTCCCTCATCCTTTACCTAGGGAAAAGATACGTATTAAATTCAGTGTTCCACATGACATGTAACTTTTCTATGGAACTGAAGCATCAAATCAAAGTCAAACACCAGCCGGGCTACACATCTTCTGCACTATGCCCCAGTGAGCTTATTAAACAGGGCACAGTGTGGTGGTGGTGGGGAGAGGTTAATTCTGGGTGAAAATGATTAATTTTTTTACATGGAAGCAGAAAATGAGATGTGAACAGATGCCCATTTCTATCCACAGCTGGAGATAGCCAGAAGCCTTCACATCAATCTGCATTTGTTAAAAAAAGCAGAACAACAACACAGTAACCAAAGCAACAATAGATAACAGACTTTGGAGAGAACCCCGTTTATTTCTCCCTCATTACCATAGGAATTCCTATACATTTAAGGTAAACATTTCAGCCTCTTTTAATTTGGAAATAAAAAAAGTTAACAGTCATTTTTACCTCAACACCAGCTGAAGCATCAAACACTGCTACTGCTCCATCCAGGACTCTCAAGCAACGTTCAACTTCCACTGTGAAGTCCACATGACCTAAAAAACAATTGAAAAAACTCAAATTCACAACCTGAATTACCATTATCACAACTCACACAGGCAACATCTACAGATCATTGCAACTTTTTTCTTTAATGTTTAAAAACACGTCATAATTACTGTCTTACCTTTCAGAGAACTCAAGTCCTTGAAAGACACAGGCTGTTCTTGAGCTAACCTTGAACAAGTCAGACCAGGCTGCAGAAAACACTAGCTAGTCAAAGGTCAGCAGAGCTCAGTACAGGCTTATTTACTGCAGCAATTCAACCAGCTAAATATCAGACTACATTCAGGACCCAAGTTCAGCAATGCTTCACCTCCTCTACTCTTTCATAACATTACAGGAGTAGCACTAAAGCACAGTACCTGGGGTATCAATCAGGTTGATTCTGTAGTCCTTCCAGTCAAAAGTAACAGCAGCAGATTGAATGGTAATACCACGTTCTCGTTCCTGTACCATAAAATCTGTTACTGTGTCTCCATCATCGACATCTGCGAGCAGGAAACAGGGTTACAACTGGGTACATAAGTAATTCAAACACTAAGCTGTCTTGGAATAAAGACAGTGAGATATTTGGAAATACTCCCCCTTTGTAAACGATCAAATTATGAAAACTTTTCTAAGTCACGGAATTACAACATTGGACCATACACCAGGTTGCCAATGCAAGGAACAAATCATTTGTAAATTGAAAACAATCGATTCCATCAACTTTTTTTCATTTTTAATCAGAGAAATACACTGTGTAGAAACTTAAAAGTTAAGCAACACTGTGAGAAATCTAAAAAATTACAGCAAGGTCCAAAATCATGAATAAATGACACTTCTGAAACGAGAGGCTGCACTCTTTGTACACAACCTGACATTTTAAAATTTAATAGTTGAAACTCAAAGTTAGAGATAGACTTCAGTTTAAAAGCTAAGACTTCCTATTATTTGTATTTTTAATAGAAACAGAGAAAGTCCCATATTTTGAAAATATGCATAATATGCAAAACAAGCATATCACCAAGGTCACTCCCCAAGGCTCACACCTTCTAACATTCTCCTGTGTAGCAGAGGAAACGCCACTAAATTTAAAAGGTCAAAGGCACCATAAATGAAGGCAGCTTTGATTTTCTCAGTCTTAAAAGATTTCAGTGAGAGCTGCTGCAGAAAGGAATTCTTCCCTTTGGTAGGACTTAAAATACAGATTAGTTTTTGGTAATCTGGCCCCTTGACACATCAAAATGAATCCGGAGGAGCAGCTTTGCCAAAACAATCAATGAACAACGCACGAAACAAAATAAACTTCTGAGTAAGTGTTAAACAAATAACAGTGTATGAAAAAGAAAAAAATGAATCAAGAAGCTCTCAACTGCTTTAGAACTGCAAGTGCAACCACATTCAAACACAATAGAAAACACATTACAATTTCATCAAATTGAAGAACAACTTTGAAACAAAAGGCTTCTATGCTAAAAACTGTACCACCAATCTCACTGCATGAGATTGCCACAATTGTCAAATCTCTCACAGCTATGGAAATACAAATATATATATATTGCTAACCTCCAAGTGTTCTTATGTATCCAGAGTAATACAGCATTCTTTCTGTTGTTGTTGTTTTCCCTGCGTCAATATGGGCCATGATACCAATGTTACGGATTCTGCATAAAGCAAAAACAGCCTTTAATGTGGCACTTTTTTCCAGTGATGTTTTTGGCACGAACAATTCACACTTGCTAAGCATAGCACACAAGATGAATAGGGTTTTTTCCTGTCACTTAACTGATAGAATACATGTGCTGATTGCGAAGTACGATAGCACTGAAATGGTGAATTTTCTTCTCAGTGGCAATACTCAGTAGTTCTGGAACAGGTTTCCACACTTCACTTCTGTACCTGCTTAGCCTCATTCTGCACTCACACGTCTCCTCTACATATGGAAACAGCCCTATCACCTTCTTGTATGTTCCAACCCCTAAATCCTAGTGACTAGAACAGTCCATTGCATGTATCACAGAATCACAGGATCACAGAGGTTGTAAGGGACTTCTGGAGATCACACTGCCCAGCCCCCTGCTAAAGCAGGTTTCCTGGGGTAGGTTGCACAGGAAAATGTCCAGGTGGCTTTTGAATATCTGCAGAGAAGGAGACTCTGCAGCCTCTCTAGACAACCATGTTCCAATGCTCTGTCACCATCACAGTAAAGCTTTTCCTCATGTTTGTATGGTGCTTACTGTGCTGCAGTTTGTGCCTGCTGCCCCTCTGTCCTGGCCCCATCCACTGACCATAAGATATTTGTAAGTGTTGATATTTATGTCCCAAATCTAGCTTGCAAGTTCTCATGAAGTTGTATGAGATTTTGTTCAGACAGATCTTTTCTGAGGTACCTTGCCCAGAGGCTTCCAAGCAGTTCTTCTCATTGCAGGCTTGTAATCAGATGCCATCATTATGATTGGCTGAATTAGCCCTCAAGACAGAGGCACCCCTCATGTCATTTCTGTGATAGCCCAGCCCCTAATTGCTTTGCCCGTATTAATTAAGGCCATCATCTCTACAGCTAAACACAAGGAAAACAGTGCTGCCCATGGTGGTGGACTGCATGCCAAGAAGCTCCTCCACCTCATTTAGATCTCTCTGACACTCACACTGAAACGTCAGAAAGTTGAAAACAAGGAAGTGTGAACTGCAATTTAAAACATGTATTTAAGTAACACCAACAGCAACAACCCTTGACATTGTACCACATCAGTTCCTCTTGCTATCAGTTACATAGGGAGAATAAGCTGCACTGACGTACCTGGATATATGAGGATTAACGACAGAACGCAGAGATTTAACATCTCCTGGAGACAAAGAAAACAAAAACGACTTGTCAGACTGATCCCAACAAGAAATTATTGATTTTAACAAAATTAAGTGAATTAAGAAAACTCCTAAAAAGCTTATCTGAAACAAAGATTCAGAGCCACAACTCTTGAAAACTCCTAATTCTCACCCATCCCCAATTACTAAAGATCTGTATTTCACTTTCAAAACATTTCTCACTCTCTTTCACACATGGAACTCTTCAGAGCTTTAACTTGGAAACAACAGGAAAAAAACAACACGAGGGAAAAAAATATCACCAGACCAGTGAAGTCTTACTCTGCAGAAGCAGTAACTAATCAGGCCACAACTCTCTTCTGCCCTAACTCTACAAAGAAAAGAGAATGATGGTTACTTCAGACTTCCTTCTACTCAACCATAGATGTCTCTCTTTGCTTTTGTGCAACATGCTGGCTATCATCAATTAGCCAATGACCTATTAATATTAATACTTTAGGCAATTGGACAGGGATTACTGCATCTTTCATAGCTAATCTGGCTTTTTATCCACCTGTTTTTTCCCTTTTTCTTATTTCCTAATCTTTATACTACAAAACTACTGAGAAAACAGCAGCAATTAAAAACCATTCTTCCCAATCCTTGAACCTTTTAACCACTCTGTGCTTCAAATGTCAAATATTATCAATGAAATTTTGAAGGCATTTTTACTCACTTCTAAGTAACTCCTAGCAATAAGTCATAAATTAAATTCAGAAGAATAAAAATACAATTTGAAAGCATACTTGGTGGAGAGCTGTAGTTCCTTTCACTGCTGTTTTGCTGCGTCACACTTAGGACTATAACTTTTGGCTTCCTGAAACATGAATGCTGGCAATGGAAGGAAATAGAGAACACACACAACTGTCACAGTAGGGAATTAATAATCATAACTCATTATTAATTCGTAGGCATAGAATCATAGAATAATAGAATCAGAGAATGGCCTGGGTTGAAAAGGACCACAATGTTTCAACCCCCTGCTATGTGCAGGATCACCAACTACCAGACCAGGCTGCCCAGAGCCACATCCAGCCTGGCCTTGAATGTCTCCAGGGATGGGGAATACACAGCCTCCTTGGGGCAACCATAGGCATAATTTTTCCAGTTGTACAGAATGAAATATAAATGTGATCTGAATCAACTGATGCTCATTAGGTATTTACATAAACTGAAATTACCACCAGTGTGGAAGCAGCAGCACAGCCTGAGCTTAAATAAGAGCGCAATCTCAACAGTATTCGGGAAGTCCAGTAAAAATGTGTGATATTATCAAAGCAAGCTGTCAACAGCCACAGCATTTTATACATGCCTAAATACCATACAAATGCAACAGCAAAAAATGTCGTGTATCAGAGGTGTTTAAAAGACTTTAGAAAAAAGTAACACAACTTCCACATTCTGACATATGAGAAGCCCAACCTCAACATGAGTTTATGTCGCTCATTTTATCTCCAAAGACCAAAATAAAATAAAATGAAATAAAATGGTTTACTCGGTGTAACTTAGGTGATCTCTTTACACTCAGGCATTAAGTATTAAAATTTGGGAAGGCGTTTACCTGACTGCACAAACTTGACAATTTCAGTGCGTTCACTGAAAACTTCCTCATGATTCTCCACATTCTGGCTGCTGTCTCTAAAGACGTTCCCTGCCAAAAAATAAAATGAGATAAGCACCACACCGAAGGCCTGCTTCTTTCTGGAAGCTGTGCTGTCCTTTGTGGGCACTGTTTTCACACGACCAATAGCTTTTCACCCCGGATCGCTGTTTCTCTCGTCAGACTGCAGTGGAAGTGCTGCGGGACCTTCAGCACACGGCACAGCCACACACACTCAGGGTTTGCGAGCGCACTGCCCATGGAAAGCCGCAGCCAGCACCGCAGAACACGCAGCAACGCATTGCGCACGGAATGCTGGTTCGGGAAACGCACCCTTTTGCTCTTGAAAGCGGTGAAAAGTACGCTTTTTAAAGCAGACAAAATCAGACGCTACATCGCCAAAGCGCCCCAGGACGCACCACGGTCCGCCGCACGGCACAACAGCGCCGAGCCGCACCGGAAGGTGCGCTCCTCATTGCGCTCCCCCGCGGCCACCCCGCCTTACTCAGTCCCACCTCCGACTGACAGACACAGGCGGCCGAACAGCCGCTCCGGCCTTTTCTGCCCGTTTCGTCCCTTTCTTGCCTCACCGAGCCGGGCCGCAGCCCTAGGGCCGATCAGAGCGACGCCTGTCCCCAAGACGGAACCAAAGCGCCGCGGGGTGCGTTTCCACCCGGGGCGGCCTGAGGAAGGGACGGCCCTTTTCGCTGCGCAGGGGCGAGCGGCGTGGAGTGAGCGTGACGTGCCGCCGCCGCCATGGTACGGCCGGGGGCCGGGGCCGGGGTCGGGGCCGGAGGTCGGGGGCCGGGGCTGGGGTCGGGGTCGGGGCCGGAGGTCGGGGGCCGGGGCCGGAGGCTGGGGACGGAGACGGCCCCGCTGCTCCGTGCGGATGGGGTGCCTCCCGGTCTCGTCCCGGCGGTGTGAGGCACTGAACGCGCTGTCCTGTGCCCACAGCCGCAGAACGAGCACATCGAGCTGCACCGCAAGCGGTACGGCTATCGGCTGGACTATCATGAGAGAAAGAGGAAGAAGGAAGGGCGCGAGGCTCACGAGCGCTCCAGGAAGGCCAAGAAGATGATCGGGCTGAAGGCCAAGCTGTACCACAAGCAGCGCCACGCCGAGAAGATCCAGATGAAGAAGACGTGAGTAGCGCTGTCCTGACATTATGTCTCTGCACGGCGTCTGTGGGACTGAGACAGCCACAAAGGCCTGGCTGTCAGGAGCGTGGCCCCTTGTGCTTCTTACATATTGCTTAAGTTTGGAACAGAGTGCTTAAGACGCTTCTGATGTCCCCTCTTCTCAGTGCCTTTTTTTTTTTTTTTTTTTTTAATCATTGGAGTTAACGACTCTGTTCCTAAAAGCATTCCTTAGTACATGCGTTAATTAGCAGTAGCAATTGCAATAATGTAATCGTGGCGGAATGCAAAAACTCTATATTGGCTTTCAGTCTAATGGTAACGACAGCAGAATATGCTTGGCTTTGTCTGTTAGGCCCTTTGCTTTAAGCCAGTTTCTCAGTAAGTCTTGTATTACAGTCTGAGTGAGCTGACAGGCTTCAGAGGGCTCTAATCTGCCAGCTGTCATGTTTAGCTTCCTATGAAAAGTACTTGGGCACTGTTCCTTAAATGTAAACTCTGTACTTACTTTAAAGAATATTTTGAATAGGCACAACCTGAGCTATTATATCTCAAAATTTGCTTCTTTTCCGTTCTTAATACTGTGTTATTGCTGTTTGTTTCTTCTTGAAGAATTAAGATGCATGAGAAGAGAAATACAAAGGAAAAGAATGAGGAGAAAACACCTAAAGGAGCTGTACCAGCATACCTGCTAGACAGAGAAGGCCAGTCCCGGGCTAAGGTTCTCTCTAACATGATCAAACAGAAACGAAAAGAAAAAGCTGTAAGTAGCTGGATTAAAATTCAGATACTTAGTATTACTTATGGTGATGATAATTCTGTTATTGATGCTTAAGTGGCATCCAGCTTACAAGCAAGGTCTGATTATTGATCTTGTACAAAAGCTAAAACTTTGAATAGCATAGCCACCTTGAGCAAAATAAGCAAATGCAAAGTCTTGATTTCCATAAGCTTAAATGCTAATTAAAATAAGTAGCTATTATAAGTAGCTATTAGTTGCATAAAACACATGGTTTACAGCTACTCTGATCAGTTACATTTTATTTTGTACTTCGATTATCCTGTTTCATTTAGAAATGGCACATACCTAATGACAGTTGTGTTTCCTATAGGGGAAATGGGAGGTTCCTTTGCCAAAAGTCCGAGCACAGGGAGAAACAGAAGTTTTAAAGGTGATTCGTACAGGAAAGAGAAAGAAGAAGGCCTGGAAGAGAATGGTTACAAAAGTTTGTTTTGTTGGAGATGGCTTTACTAGGAAACCTCCTAAGTATGAACGATTCATTCGACCAATGGTAATGTAATGTTCTTGAAACTTTCAAATATTTAGGTAGTAATTATTTTAACTGTTTTGGGTTTGGCAAAGAATCACACAGAATGGCTTTGGATAGAAGGAACCTTAAAGAGCGTCTAGAAAGCTAGATGGAGTAGAATGAAGTTTCATGTAGGAACTTCCTTCTACAATAATGCACTTGATTACTACTGATTTAAAATATTCGTGTTACTTTCCTTTCTGAAATCTGAACTTAGACTAGCTGGAGGTACCCCTGCAGTCACTGTCTGCATTGTAATATTTACATCCTGTCTCCCGTAACTGAGATGACATCAGTAAGTTAAAGCCGTGAGTTCTCAAATTAACATGGGAAGATCTTCAGCATAAGCACTTCAAAAGCTTCTTTCTTTTTCAAGCTACTAGGATTCTGTCAGCTGCAGGGGCTAACTCTGTTGTCAGACTCACGTACTCCCTCCTTCTGATTTGTTAGCTAAGCTGAAGGCACAGTGGTGACAGTATGCAAAGAAGCTGTTGTGTCTGCTTGGCCTTTCCTTACACAAATACAAGTAACAGTGTGCAGGCCTTAGCAGTCTAGCAGCACAGAAGAAAAATCAGATTCATTATGACAGTGTAGTTTATTTATATAAATACTGAGTAGAAATCTTGGATAGGTTTTATTGATACACAAAGTGATACTGTATTTAGTGATAAAGACCCTATTACAGTGTACAGGTACCTAGACAGAAAGAGGTGTAATAGGTGAGTGTTTAATAGTTCACAGCACATGAAAAGCATTTTCAGGTTTACAAGTATAAAGGAAAAAAATTGTCTGAAAACTGCTAATGCTTTACAATAAACACCTCACTTCTTCATGAAATGTGCTTTACTTGTGGAAGTGATTATTCTTCTTTTATTACTGTTAAAAAAACTGCTTTATGAAAGTAGCTGTTTAAAAAAAAAGTACCTAGCTTTGTCATCAATCAGGTTGTTAACAAGCCTTCTATAGTAAGCCAATTACTTTCTGTGTTCTGGCTTGTTTCATTCTTCCCTGTTTCGTAAAATGCATAAATCTGAGGATGTAAAGCTAGAAGTGTTAAATTAGCTGTGAGGCCTCCAAGTATATACTAATGTTTTTTAACACCTTTGTGCTACAGGGCTTACGTTTCAAGAAGGCACACGTGACACATCCTGAACTTAAAGCTACTTTTTGCCTGCCTATCCTTGGTGTAAAAAAGAATCCTTCTTCTCCTCTGTATACAAGTTTGGGTGTGATTACCAAAGGTACTGTCATTGAAGTGAATGTGAGCGAACTGGGCCTCGTGACACAAGGGGGCAAAGTCATTTGGGGTAAGTTCTTTATCCAGTAGCAGCACTTCAGAACAAGCTGTAAGTCTTTATTGCCTGAGTGTACTGTGAAGCCCTTGTCTTGTAAGGTGTCATAATTTATCCCTGTTGAGTTTTGGTTGTAGCAGAAGCAACAACCGGGACAGCTTTGAAAAGTTTTAATCTTAGGCTTTCAGTTCACACTTTGAACATCAAATTAGGTGAAGATCAGAAGAAGGACTTCCAAGACATAAGCAATCATATCAAGCAATGTTACAAGCCCGTTAAGACTTATCCATGTGAATTATGAATGATTATATGGCCATGTTTTCAGTCATGTGCACAAACATCTTCATCGAATCTGACTAACTTCTCTAACAGTGACGCTGACTTGGACTGTGACAGAACCTATGATTTTTATGAATTCCTCAAGGTTCTGGGTATGTTATAAAGACAGCGTGAGCAAGATATTTTGAGAACTGAAGTTTGCAGCTCATCAGAAAGCATACTTAGATTTGTAGTGCATTCAATTTTGAAATAGCAATTCCTTCCACTTCCAAGCGGTCTTGTGGATTAAATTTTCAAAATGGAAGAATTGTAATTTACTATGTTAACTTTTAATTTCCTTTTCCCTTTAGGAAAATATGCTCAAGTAACAAACAATCCAGAAAATGATGGCTGTATTAATGCAGTTCTGCTTGTCTAAATTGTTTGATAGTACACATTGGACACTGCCTTCCACAAAATCAGTGGAGTTTCAACAATTTTGGAAGATCTCTGGAACCTTCAATCAGTCAGGCATGCTGACCCCTTAAGTGTGCCAGAAAAGACTGTTCAGATTTTTATATTTAAAATCTGTTTATCTGACCATTGTCTGAATAAAGAGATTGAATTTTTATGTTTTGCTACTATGTTATGGATTTGATCTTAACCTTCATGATTCTAGAGCAGCAGTCAAGCAGCTGAGATTACTTTCTTTAAATATTTAGCTCACATCCCTAGTGGCAGCCATTATCTGCTGTGATGGTTTACTGTAAAGCTGAAGTTACAGAGATAAGAACTTGCATCCCGCTGCATACAGTAGAGCTGGAAGAATGCAGTCTTGCTGCAGACTGACATTAGAAATTTAACTCCCAGTTTGGTATTTGCCATGGAGAAGGATGGGTTTGGATCACAGGTGCTATTGTGAGTGCGCAGGAAGGGAAGCATGTTAGAATCATGGAATGGCTTGGGACCTCAAGGATTATTGGGTTGCAATCCCCCTGTCCCAGGCAAGGCTGCCAGCCACTAGATCAGGTGCTAGGTTAGGTTGCCCAACACCCCATGCAGCCCGATCTTGGAAAACCTCCAGGGATGGGGCATCCACAGCTTCTCGGGGCAGCCTGTACCGCTGCCTCACCACCTGCTCAGTGAAGGACTTCTCCCTGACATCTAATCTAAATCTTCCCTCTTTTAGTTTCAAGCCATTCCCCCTTGTCCTATCAGCCTGTGTAGAAAGTTGATTTCCCTCCTGTTTGTAATATTCCTTTCAATATCAGAAGGCAGTAATGTGAGAATGGCATAACAGTACTGACGTTACAATTCACCATAGCAATCTTGGGTGCTTTTAAGAAACATTAAAGTGAAACTGAAGTCACAAGCATCAGCTGGTAGCGTTCAAAATACAGGTATTCAAAATACAGGAAAACAAAAGCTGCTTTTACACTGACTTCTTCCAGTCAAGAATTTTGTGGTAAATAAACTAGGCACCATCTATCGCTACAAACACACACTGATATACACACCATTTATTCCTATTTTTACATAGTACTTCAGTTCAAGCAGAGGAGCTTTTAAGCACAAACTTGAAGTAAAATCTTCAACTTTTTCCAGTTTATGAGAACCCTCTGATTCCCCCAACATTGTAAGAGGGAACCTTCAAACAAAGCTCAGGGTTCTTCACAAGCCAAATTGTAAGTAGTCTGGGGGGTTGTTTTTAAACACAAAAGAGGCAGCTACCTGCACCTGTCATGCCTGCAATAAGCTACAGGAATAGGCAGTCTGAGTATCAGATGATAGCAAATAAAATTTGAAAGGACCTGCTGAAACTGTCTAAGCCCCTACTTAAAGCAGAGTCAACTATAGTGGTCTAAGGACCATGTTCAGACAGGTTTTAACGATGTCTAGGGATGGTGACTTACGATGGGCAACGTGATCCAGTGTTTGACCACCCTGAGTATAAGTTAGGAAGCTTAATGGAATTTTCTTCACTCCAGTTTGTAGCCACTGCTTCTCATTCTGTGATTCTGTTACTGAGCTCCACTAAGAATCTGGCTCCATCTCTGTACCCTCAGAGCAGGTATTTGTACAGAAGGGAAAGAAGTCTGCTCCCCCAGCCTCAAACCTTTTAACTAAATTCTAGCACTCTCAGCCTTATGTGCAAATGATGCTCCAGTCATCTTCATGACCATAACAGCATTTCCAGATCAGGAACTCTAGCCAGGAGCATCCTGCTTCTGCGCGTTCTGTGATTTCTCTTACACCACCTGACAGAAGCAGTACTTTAACTGTTTCCCCCCCTTTCAGACTACTTTGTTAGTTTATCAGTTTGCCCTAGAGTGGACTCTGCACTGTAACTGACTATGGTTCTTGTTTATTTCTGCAATGGTAAATGATTCAAAACTGATTCAAAACCTGATTAAAATCAGGTCACAAGCTAGTAAGCAATTTGCTTGGGGAGAGGGCATTTTGTCAAAATGTTACATTACCTTTTAATGCATTTTAATAACATAAATAAACTCAGCTGCCTCAAGAGCACTACTACACTGCGTTGTAAATACATGACTTATTGGCTGAGTGATACAATTATTGCAAATAAAATTACATTTTAAACACTATACAGAGTTGATAAGTTCATAGCAACGCATGATGGGAACATACATACGTATGCATATAGCATACAGTAAACATACTTCTTAAAAAGCTGTAGAATAGGCTGCTTCATAAGATGCGTAAGTTAAGTAAATACAGCTTTTTTTTTTTAAGTACAGGAATTCTTTTTCAATGAATATACTTACAGCATTTAAAGCTCTTCGGTAGCAGACAGATTGCAAGATAATAGACTGCAAAATAACACCAAATGTAACTACACTGTTTTGTTCTAGTGAATTAAACCACTTTAAAAGATGCCTCCTGCATAGCAGAAAGGAATCAAATACTTAAAAATAAGTCACAAAATAAGTTTAATTACCTTTTCAAAACATTTCAAAAGCAGTCAACACAATACAAAGAAAGGAAAAGTCAAGACAATACAAAGAAAGGAAAATTCAGAACACACTAACTAGCTCTAAGTACAGTACTCTAGAACAGCATCACATCTTCCATAGGATTTATAAACACTAGTTTAAAAAACATCTAACACCACATTCATGAAAATAAATATAGAAGTATATCCCCTTGGTAATATCTTTTAATGGTCGAGGAAAGGATGAAACTTAGGCCTATTTATTGCTCTTTTCATCCTAGTAGTGTTGGTTAAATGATCGATTTGATTACTGACACCCACAAGTGAAATGGAAAAGAAGTACACCAACAAAGAAAGTATGAGTTACTAAATTAAAACCAAATTGGAATAAATACATATCTTTATGTAAAGGGCTATGGAACATGAGAACAGCAAACAAGAATTCTGCATGAAATGAAGAAGCCGAAAGAAACTGTGAGAAACAAAGCAAGTTCTATTGAAAATTAAGCAGCAGTACAAGGGAAACATTTTAACAAGCAATGCATTCAAACACAAAACCATTGACTATTTAAGTGCAAGGTTGAAATCACAAATAAAGATTCTTTAAACTCCATTCCCAGGCTAAATAAAGCTCAAACATAATACTGCTCGCTTTGACCATACACACATAGTTTTACAACATACCATAACAGTATCTGGTACAAACAGATGAACTTGATGAACTTTAATCATTGGTTGCTGGTGTGGTAAGATGTTAAATTCTTTAGCAATTCAATGGTCTAAGCCAGACAATAAACCGACCAAAGAAAAACTGTCCAGGCATAAAACAGTTTTTCCCAAGATAAAACATTTCAGTCGATACAGTTGTCAGACAAGTTTCCCTGCTTCAGTGCAATGGAAGGTATAGATTATTAAACTACTGTTCCAACTGGACAACCATCACAACAATACAAACTATTATTTAAATCAGTAGTTTGATTTGGCTACTCAATATTTATTGCAAGACGACTGATGCCCAAGAAATTATTAGAGAAACAAACTCCATTCCAGCTCGATGTACTGCTGTGATCACAGTTAAGAACTATTTCTAGGTTTCAAGACCATACTGCTTATTAGAACTGCTAATTGCACCACCACTGCCCACAATAGGTAGATAACAATCTGGCCATTGGCTACTATCTCAGGTACCCCAAACAAACAGAGCTAGCTACTCAAGAGTATACCTAAAGATGTGAATTTTAGCTCAGTATTTCAAAACTTTCTGGAGTTTGATCAGATACCTGACTCTTTTCAGCAGAAACCAAGACTGACCTCATTTAATAATTCCGTTGTAGTTTTTCCTGCATTCAATACATAAATGTCCTAAGAATAAGATACTAATTGAAACTAGTTCCAACTTAGCCACGGAAAGAAATATCAGAAGTCAAATAACCTTCCCACAAAGGGTTTTCCAACCTCACAGGAAAAACCAAGTGACAAACGTATGCATAAAAAAAAAATCCATCTAGAGGAAATAAGTGGCTCTCACCTGTTTGTGAACAACAGAATTCTTGAATGTGAACATATTTGTACCAATTGAAGTATTTAACAGATTAGTATGTAGTACAGTTCGCTCTAACAAACACAAAATGAATGACTAAAAACTGCATACAGTCAGCATTTTTTAAACTATCAGGTTCCATCCTTAGCAATGTAACAGATGTGTGCTTTGTGTGTGTGTGGTTTTCTTTTTTTTCTTTTTTTTTTTTTACAGTAACTTAGCATTGTAAGACAAATCATACTATTGGTAACAAGTTTTGTTCCATGTGCATTGTAGAAAATGTTTTATTAGTTTTAGGAATTCTTAAGGTTCACTTGAATGTGTTTACAAACAACCATAAAAGATCTTGAACGTTTGCCAGTTGCAAGGTTCATAAGTAGTAAATGCACACTGACAGGGAATTACAACTATGCTCAACATCCCAACTCAGTTATCCACTCTGAAGTCTAAAGTTTGAATCAAAAATTTATGTAATACATGCATCTAATAAAAACAAAAGCAACACCTCCTACATAAGCTTTTTTTTTTTTTTAACAAATTAAAAGTAGGATTGTATTTCAACAGGTGAAATAAATAGTAAGAATACATCTTAGCTAAAATGCTTTATAAATACGCTTAAACTATAGGCATAGTCTTACTTTAGCTTCATGGAGGGATAAAAATTAAGACAGCATTGCAACTATTCAAGTGAACCCTAACAGCAATCTTCAGAAGCCCAGCACTTCCAAGACACAGTAGGAGATTAGTTTATTAATCTAAGATTAACTAGCAAGGCTGCTCTTTCTTATTCCTGACTTTTCAGCTCTTTACAAGAGGAACTTCACTTACTGAAATAAACATATTGCCAATCAAGGAGTAACTCAATGTAAACCTGACAAACTGTATTAAATATATACTTCGCTAAGAGAATTTCTGAAAGTAAATATGCGTAATAGCCTGTTTGTATTTCTGCTTGTATATAGCAAGGTTTAGTTCTTGTTTTTAGTAAGATCTATGAACTGGGAATCAGTACAGAAATTACACTCAATTTACAAAAAGGAAGTGGGAATCACAAATATTTGCAATAATCGCCTGATAACACCTAAAGGCGCAGTTACAACGTTTTAACAGCATCAGCTAGTTATCTGGAAAACAAAGCACCACTTCCAATCAGACCAATACTAGATCAAAAATTGTCTTGTCCCATAACATAACAAGTAAGCAAGTATCCATTCAGCACATGCAAGTAGTTAGAAAGGCTGTTCAAACAACTCTGTAAGCATACTGGAGTGAGGACTCCAGTATTCTGGAGAAACTCACGCTTAACAAGACATCCACTTTGGAAGCCACAGATATAGTTTACTGTGTATGCAACTCTGAACTTCATTTTAGGTGTGCGCTATTGTAGATGCTGTGCTGATTTTGTTACTGGTAACTCAGCTGTTTCAAGTGATTAGCAAATCAAATTTGCCAGTTTGGGAGTCAAAAGCAGAGCCATTCTCTCCAGTTTCACTCTAATAAAAGATAGATGCTATGTTATATTGTTTTGATATACAGTTACAACTTCTTGTATATTTCGAGACCTAGAATTACAATCTGACATTCTTTTAATCTCATCCGAAAAAGCCTGTGAGGAGTTAACAAGAAGAGAGGAGGGATGTTTCTTGTTCTCTACTGTGGAGAGATGCAGAACACTCAAATATTTTAAATTCTTTTAAAATAATTTGTGATGAATGGCCTCATGAAATTCTATGAAAATTTTAGTAACTTTAATAAAGCCAGAATTTCATACTTCATTTTTCCTTCCCAGACTGACACCTGAAATATGCAAACTGTTCCTTCGCCAGCACAACTTTATTCAGCGTGTATGGTTTATAAAAGAAGAAGACTGGCTGTTTATTTCATTCTCGGAAGAAGATCAATGTCTACTGGTTAAAAATTTAAGAAACCTTGAGCAAAGGTGATGAATCTCAAAAGGAAGTCCAACCCAGTATTTATTGTGAATGTCTGTGTCCTATACGTTTTCGTTACACCATAGCGTTTTACACAAAATAACAAGTTTTTTTTCGTTCAAACAGATGAATTAACAATTTATTTTAAGCCGGCTTTCCTTTTTTCTTGGGTGGACCTTTGTAACCTTTGGCCTTCCTTCGCAAATTTCTCCGATCCACAATGGGCACCTCGATTTCTGCCTCCTCAGAGCTGCTGTCAGCTGCCCGCTCTGCCGTCTGCGTGTACTGCTCCGTCTGCGTGTACTGCTCTGTCTGCTCAGCAGACTCCTCCAAGTGCTCTTCTGTCTGGTTCTTCTGTCCTTCCTGTCCAGAAGGCTGCTGAAAAGAAACACCCTCCAGTTCAACCACTATCAAAGAGCTCTGACCCAAAGCAACAGAAGCCTCCTGTGAGTTCTGCTCTGCTTCCTCATTTTGATCTTCCCCTGAGGAAGCTGGCTTGCGTGACACATTTTCAGAAACAGCCTCTTCAACTGCTTCACTTTTGACAGAGTTTGGTAGCCCGTTGTTTGAGATTTCTTCCTTTGGTGTTAAAGCAACTACGTTTTCAGTGGATGATTTTTTTTCTTCAGATTCTTGCTTGTCTTCTTCCATACCCTTCTTCTCCACCAATGCACTTTCTTCAGTCAGTCCTTCTGAATCATTTGCATTTATAACCTGAGTGTGTGCCAAAACAAAGGGATTATTAATTGAAGATAGAAGAGGATGAACAACTTTTAACCTTAGTTAGCAACTACAGAGGATATTTTGGCATTCAAGAGATCCCATTAATGCATATACAGTCAACTAACCAACCCTCTCCTCCTCATTGCACAAAACTATTTTGTGAATTGAATTTGATATTCAGTGTTCCCCACTATGTTTTCATATTCAAAGTATTAAAAAAAAAAAAAAAGAGTAGACATATTCTGAAATTATATCCAGGGAAAGATACCAGTGTTTCAAAACCACCAATGGTAAAATCTGCGTTATTGAAGAGCATTTTACCAGTAATTAATTGCTTGTACACTCCATCAGTGAAGATGTACTAGATAAAATACAGATGTTGCTTTCAGACATATCCAACAAACAATTCAGACAGAAACAGCTGTTTCAGTACTGCCAAGGGACATTGGAGAAAATTACCTTTTTTTGCTTTCTTTTATCTTTCTGTTATTGCAAATATATGCCCCACTTCTGCATATCAGAGCAGAAATGGTACTATATTTTGTCAATGGATTTGCATCATCTGGCCTAATAACTGCATCTCCCAAGAATTTCACACAGCGGTGGGGGCCTCCTCCTCATTGTTACATAACAAAAAGAGGAAACAGCAAGGTATGTATATTCCAAAGGAAAAACAACATTTTGTTTCAATTCTCTCACCTTCTCTGACACAGCCTCTTTTGCTGGAGACTCAAGGATTAATGGAACAAGCAATGTTAACGGTTCTTCTTGACTCTCAGTCTGCAACTTTGATTCAACACCTAGGACTTCATTTGCAGTTTCCTCTTCAGCCGTAACTAAGGTCTTAGTGGTTTCTTCTGCTACCTCCCCATTAAGAGATTCAGATGGAGTTCCCTAAAAATTACATTTTTAAGTCAAGATTATGCCAAGCTTTATCCCTGACACTAGCAGTGTATGTGTTCTAAATTTGTTTTTTTGATAAGAAAAGCAGCTATCTTCAGTTAAGCTTGAAATATATAGCAAGTCCAGCACATACCAGCTATGCAATTACTAATCCAGCGTATTAGCTTGGTGTTGTTAACTGTCCTAGGTTTCTGACTACGGCTTATGTGATTAACAGCCAAACCAAGTAGCATGCATGCTACAATCATTCCTTGAAATGTCAGATGATGAACCCAGCACAGTTTATTTTTCACTTTCTCACAAATCAGTAAGAATATAAAATCCTGGAGGTATCATCAGGCACTAAGGATACTCCAAGATCTAAATTTAAACTTGTATACAGAAATAATACTGTGTTTAAATCCAACTTCTACCTATAAAGCCAAACGCTTTACAGTGAGAAGAAAGAGGCAACAGTTGTCAGTGAAGCACACCACCTATTGATTTCTTCTGTTAAACTTTTTCCCTTTTTTCAGAGGTACTGGATCAGACCTCAACCTTACTCCAGTTCTCTGCAATATTTAAGAAGCTCAAATCAACCAAGAACGCTATGTCAATAAAAAAGCTAAAAATTTATTTTGCCTATGAACTCTACTTCAAAAAAGTCACGAAATGCAGTGATTCGGAAGGGACCCATAACGATCATCAACTCCAGCACCTGGCTCCACATCCAAAAGCCAAATCTTACCTTCGAGATCAAACATCTCCTGAATTCCAACAGGTTTGATGTTATGACCACTGTCCCAGGGAGCCTGTTCCAGTACTCAGCCACACTCTGGTGAAGAACTTTTTCCTAATCCCCAACCTGACCCTCCCATGAGGCATCTCCATCAATTCCCTTGGGCCCTGCCACTGTCACCAGAGAGCAGAACTCAGCGCTGCCCTTCAGCTCCCTTCATGAGGGGCTGAAGCTGCCATGAGGCCTCCACTCAGACTGCTCTTCTCTGGGCTGAACAAACCAAGGGATATCAGCTGCTCCTCATACATCCTGTCCTCTCAACCTTTCACTGTTTTCACAGCTCTGACTTAGATGCCCTCTAATAGTTTTACATTTTTTTATGTTCTGCCCAAAACTGCACACTGTGCTTGAGGTGAGGCCACATCAGCGCAGAATAAGAGACAACCTTTTCCCTCAAACAGCTAGTGATGCCATGCCTGATGCATATAAGTTTAAAAGAATTTTCCACTGTCAGTAATTCTGTACAAGCTTTAGCTTCTCAGATATGCTACTCAACAAAGCATCAGTGCAAAAACTGAACAATCCCATAGATCAAGGCAGCAAGGGACATATTTAATGGAAACTGTAGCCATGTTCTGAACACAGTCATCTACCATGATTATTAGAAACTATCTTACCTCCTTCTCGCTCAGCTTCTCAGATGGTGATGTATGTAGCTCAGTTTCTAATACACTCTGGTCCTCTTCAGAAGTAATCATTTCCTCACCACTTTCAACATCAACCTCAGGTTCTTCCTCAATAACTTCAAAGCATTTAGATGTGTGAGTGGGAAGTTCTGGCCTGTAGCAGACATTTATATATACGCCCCAGTCAGGTTTTATTTTGCAGTAATATGCCAGCACAACAAGAGGTCAGAGATGGAGATGTCTCCCAGACTGCACAGCATTGCAGATACACATCCAGTTATATTACAGCAATAATCCGTGCTGTATGAGTACAGATATTTTTACTCTAATGATGACCAATCTATGATAGAATAAAGTCCACTTGTAAATACAACTTAATGCCTCACTATTTTATTACTGTTATTTCCAGTATCAGAAATGGATGTTTTGGTGCTATTATTCTTCACGTTTCAATTTTTTTCCTCACAACAGGCTTTATTTGCATTAATTTTAAAACCAAGCAAGCAAAGTAGAAATAAAGCAGAAGAAATTCTAGTTACCACAATGGGAGAAACTACTTACTTGATGACTGCCCAAGCAAAAGAATAAAAAGTAATAAAAAACCATCTCCTTTACCTGCCTGCTGATGCGTGAGGAACATTTTCCTCATCTCCTTGGGATATTTCAGGTCCAGATTCGTGGCTATTTTTTCCTGTCTTGGGACGTTTTAAATGACTGCTTCGTGTCCGAATGGAAACATGTGCTACGCTTGGGTCTTCAGACAAATAAACAAGCGCAGGTGAACAAGTGCAGATTAAGTTATGTACCTTGATAATTCATTAAAGCTGCTGAGTGCAAGTAAAACAGCATTTCACTGTGGTACTTATTTTCTGAATATACATGCATAGCTTTTTAGTAAGACCAATAACAAATAATTTTATCCAAAGACCTCCAAATGTGCTTGAGTTGGGCCACAGCACCATAGAAGAAGGCATGTTTCTACATGCTTCTCAGATGAACACACTAAGCTAGGACGCAGTAAAAGAGCTTGCTGACCTACTAATCCATTGTAATTACAGTACTGATAATCAACATTATTCTTACCTTCAGATATGCTTTCATGGTCATCCAGTGATTCTTGGTCTTTTTGAGAGTCAGTCTGACAAAAAAGCAAACCCAATGTCACACAGAAATTCAGAACTCTCTGAAATACCTTCAATTCCCTACATATGGTTGCATCTTCGTAAATAATTTTACAGAAGTGATAGTGGGGAAGAGTGACTATACCCGTTCCTAATTTAGTATGTATTATATACCTACATACACACAGCACTAAAAGCTTTTGCTCTCGAGTACTCTAACACTTGAAAGCAAAAAAAAGTGCTTTGAAGTAGATTGAAGACAAAATTTTTAAGAAATTTGCATTGTTATAGCAAGTCTATTTTGACTAATAGGAAAGTGGATTGCAGCTGACAAGAATTTTTGTACATGAATATTCATTTTCTTTCCATAGTAAACTGTAAGAGCTCTTCTCATTAAAGCATAGTCTGAATTGAAGGCAATTCTTTTCTACTCTGAATCTGTTTTAGAAACAAGTCTGTACAAAAATAGTAATTTAAGTAAACAAGATGTAGTGGTTAAAAGGATTGTATTACTTCTTGAAGGTCCTAATAATTTTAATTCAATAGTGAAAGTTTCTTTTATTTTTAAGTCAACATTAATCTAGGTCTGAGAGAGTCTGGCAAAAAGACATGAGACAGCTGGCAAAATATTTCCAGCTGCAAATACTGCCCTAAAGAGACTTTGCAAATACATTCAATTCCTCTACTAACTAACTGATCTTGGTTAAGAAGAAATTCGATATATTATTTGCTTAAAGAAAAAATGGCAGAAATGATCAGATAATGAAACTGACGTCTTCCATTACTGGCTTGTTATTTGTCCATTCTTAAGTGTTTCAAGTGTAATTCCCCTGTTTCTGTTATATGGCAAAGGAAATAACAGGTGTTTGTGTATGTCTGGCCTAGAACAGATAGAGCAGGTTAGGAAAAAGCTGAGAAAACAAGAGTCTCATGCAGAGCCAGCTCTGAAGACTGAAGTCTTGTAAAGCCCCATCTAGGAAGGCCCCAGTGCAGCTGGAAGACAGTGGAAGCAAGTGTGTGGGTGAGACCAGCAGTGAGTATGGAGTGGGCCTTGCAAAGTCCAAGGATATTAACTGGAAGAGAGAGAGAACTGGCACAGCTACTGAGCAAAGGCAGGTCATCTCTCATGGAGAAAGTAAATAAAAGTACTTCACTACTGAAATAACATCCTTAAGTGCACACTTTGATAGAGGAAGGGTCAAGTATCCCAGATGGCCCCACCAGAAAGCCATCCAAATGTAGCATGGTGTCCACTACCAGTGATTTCAATTAAGAATGGAAAATTGTTTCCAAAGTGACTAGACAAGAACTGTGATGGTCTCACTGGGATGAAGTTAAATTGTTTCTTCCAAAGCAGCAATGGATATTTCTTATTTTCTAGCTGATTTTTTCTAAAATCATCTCTACTAAAAGCATGAATACTTTTTCTGCATTTTTATTCTGGCCCCAACACAAGACCTGAAAGACCTGATATAAATAACAAATTTTTTCTTTGTTATTCAGTTTACAACAGGAATCTATGGAATGCTATGAGTCTTTCTTCACTGTATAAAGAGAAGGGTCCATACTAGAATAGCTGACAAAATTTAACAGGACACTTATTATACTTGAGTTCTATTTCGTAGTCTTATTTTAACCATGGTAATAATGGTAGACAACAAAAGACAGTATCCCATATATGTGTGTTTACCTTTAAGAGATCAGACCCGGAAAAAAAAAATAAAAAAAAAAAAAAAAAAAAAAAAAAGAGCCTACTGATACAGCAGTAACACAGGTTGTAAGCACAGTCAGCACACGCTGTTTATATTAAACCCCCCTCTCTTTGTGTTCTTTTCCTTCACTCATCCATACCACCCCAATATCTCAATTTCTTTTCTGCAAGTTAGAAGAGGATTTTGTGTCTGAGCACATGACAATCTGAGGTGCGCCCAAATTACAAATATCAAAGTAAGAATTGCTCTTAGCAGGTAGTAGTTTTTTTTTTTTTTTTTTTTTTTTTTTTTTTTTTTTTTTTTTTTTTTATAAAAAATAGTAGGTAACACAGCATTGGCAATAACCTGTATCCAGTTTCCTGCTTCCTTTTTAACCTAATTTTCAGGACAACTCAAAAAAAAAACAAAAAAAAAACTAACAACCAGCAACAACCAGCAACAAGTAGCCCCATGCAGATTCCACAGTTTGAAACAGTTTCAAGCAAGCTTTAAATACCTAAGAACTTATAGACTAACGATACATCATTCTAGCATTAAAACATAAGAAACACTATGAAACAATGCAAAAACATAACTTTGCAGAATAATGTTTTTCTTCAGGTTTAAGGAAAGGTGAGTTTTTCTGCTTTTTTGTTTAGTGATCCGACAGCTTTCAAAGCATTGCAGAGCTTTGTTTCCAGTTTTTGAAGAACAGTCCCTTTGTACACAGTACAGCTGAGAAGTGCCAGTCAGAGGGGTGCCAGTAACTCTATCAAGCTGAGAGGAGTTGGGAGCACTTTGGAATCTGTTACTTTAGTGTTCTTCAAAAAGAGCCATGAATGTCTTAAGAACTACTAATATCCCTTTGCTGTTCCCTCCAAGGATATCCATATAGATACACAACCAAAATATAAGGTTTTGGATCTTTTTGGTGAAATAATCATTAGTGATCATCAGTGATGATGCTCAAGAGTGTTACAGCCTGAAAACCAGCATACATATCAAAGACAAGTATGAGTTATTGCTTCTGACCATACACAGATTAAGAATTTCACTACTTTGCAGGAAGTCGCAGTCCTCCTATACAGATAATTTGCAGCTCAGAATTGCAAATGAACACTGTCAACTGTATTGAACTGTGATGTGAAAGTGAACTTTATAAACAATTTTCCTCATTCTCTCCACTCCTGTTGTGATTCCTTTGTTCAACAGTCTTTCTAGACAGTTTAATCTTCAGAGTCAACTGAAACACTCTCCTCTTCTATACCACTAGGAAGTGACAACCCCAACTATTATGCAAATAGTTGTAACAAAGACCTCCCTACACTCATTAGCAGAAAAAAGTGAGGACCTCCTTCTCCCTACAACCAAGGGGGCATTTTTCATCCCAAGTCAGTTTGTCACATTAGTGGAAGACAACTTTCATGCAAAAAGTAACTAAAGCACTTGTCTTTTATAATGGAGATGAGAGCCAATTAAATTCTGAAATAGACAACAGCACGGAGCTGTTGGAGTGGGTCCAGAGAGCCAAGAAGAACAGAGGGCTGGAACACAGGTATGGAAAGGTTAGGTTGCCTGCAAAACCAAAGACTGCTCTTCAAGAACTTGAAACAAATATCAAACATGCATAGCATTCAGTTGGATTACATGCATTAATCTGCTAAAATCCTTCATTAAGTTCAGAAATTTGTTCTTTTGTAGAGGTTAAAAACATTTTCTGACCATGAAGAACTGGTAATTAGAGTTAGTATATGATATGATTATGGAAGTCTCTTACAATTCAAGCTTTATTAGTAAAGAGGAAACTGTATGTGTACCTACACTTAGCTGCGTTTCTGGCTCAGTCTTCAGTTCATTCGCTGCAGATTGCCAAAAATGATCCACTGACTGGAAACTCACACTTGCTTTCTGAGAGCCCTCTGTTAATAAAAACATTTAGTGACAATGGGGAAAAAAGGACAGTTATAGTATCTTCATATATCAATTAACCACTTCTAATATGATATCAGAACAGCAAAGAAGTCTTTCTACTAGTCTCCATAGGCAACTTTCACAGAAGTCACTGTCAAGCCAATACAACTTCCATAAACCGTAGGGGAACAACAACAACAAAAAAATCATCCATACTTGTGAGTTCTTCCCTTTGCAATACAGTGGCAATGGATTTTCTCTGGAACCAAAATCCAGCTCCTTCCACTTCGCACAAAAGGTCATTATCCCCAGGGTACTTCTCAAAATAGTGCTTACAAGCTGAGAAGAGAAAAAAAACCAAACAAAACACTATTAGAAACAGTATATACTCATTCTTACCTCCAGTTTTGAGGTTTATGTGAAGTAAGTTAATTTGCAGTCTTCCATCAGACACAAATCATCACAGAAAGAACTGCTTGACAAAACAGCATAGTCTAAACAAACATAATTTCCTTGCTTTCTGTTACTATCATCAGCTGAAAATAAAATTTGAAGGGCTTTTTCCCCCCTTCTTCTCAAAGCACCCTCTTCTGAGTTTTATAATTTATTTTCTCACTGTCCCTGCTAATGACAAGTTTCTCTGGGCAGCTTGTTCCAGTGCCTCACCACCCTCTGAGTAAAAAATTTCTTCCTTACATCTAACTTGTGTCTATTCCCTTTCAGTAGAAAGTAAACACTACCGTGCCTGTACAGGTCCTTGTAAAAAGTCTCTATCCATCTGTTTCATAAGCCCCTCTTAAGTTTTGAAAGGCTGCAATTAGGTCTCCTCTGTGCCTTCCCCTTCTCCAGGCTGAACAAGCCTCCCTCAGCCTTTTTTTGCAGGCCCTTATCTGAATCCATTGTAACAAGTGTAATGTTCTTCTGATGCTAGGCATGCCTCTTTTAATGCACATCTCTGCCTCCTGTTGGCTTCCTGAACTACAAGTGTACCCACCAAGCTCATGTGTTGTGCTACTACACATTCACCAGCACTCTCAAATCCTTCTTCACAGAACTACTCTCAATCCATTCACCACCTACCCTTTTTTCATCTTTGGGATTGTCCAGACACAGATGGAGCCATGCTGAACTTCATGAAGCCGTACACGTACCATCTCAGGAGTGTCAAGTCCCTCTGGACAGCATCTATTTCCTCTAGCCTATCAACTGCACCACTCAGCTTGGCATCATCCAAAATCTTGCAGAGGGTGCACTCAATCCCACTGTTTATGTCATTATGGATATTAAACAGTACTGGTCCCAGCACTAACCCCAGAGAGGCATCTTGGTCTCCACATGGAAACTGAGTTGTGGAATGCAATTACTTGAATACAGCCATAAATCCAACTCCTTAACCAATGAATAATCCAACCAAATCTCTCTCTCCAATTTAGAGACAAGGACCTTGCAGGGGACCATGTGAAATGCCTTTACAAAAGTTAAGAAAAGTGGTATCAGCTGTTCTTCTCTTACCCACCAACACAATCACTCCATGACTGCTCCGACAGGGAAACGGATTAGCCGTTAAATTATATTCAGTAAAATTTGTTGGCCAAACCTAGCAGGAGAAAAAAAAATTCTCCAGCCAGATCCAACAGCAAAAAGCAGTAGTTAGAGAAGCAGAAAGTTTCCAGAGGCTAAGTAGGAAGGCTAGATGAAAATGTTAACAGAAATAAGCAAAATAAGCCTGGCAGATATACAGAAAATAAGACAAGCCCTGAGAAAATGGACAAAGGAAAAACTTCCCTGAATAGTCCCAAGCAACACTGTTTCCTGAATGTGTTTCTTAGGGACATCAATGAAAAAGCCAGAAGTGGTTTCCTTGCACATTTTTTTTTCTTTGCGCATTTAAGTTAAACAGCCTAGTATGCTCATCTGACAGGACAACCTGAGAAAGAATGAATTAAATGACCTTGTGAAACTTTCAAGCAAGTACAAAAAAGATGGTACAAAGAAGATACATATAGGGAGATCATACCCAGAACAACTTAGCCCACTGTGGAAGGAATACAGCTGTAATCTGCATAGCTGCGGCATAAAGTCAACAGAAATCCAGTAATTTAACCTCACACAGAGGATTAAACTCTAATCAGAAAATACTCTGCAATATTTTACAAATCAGGATTTTCAGCCTTCAATGAAGAGCAGAACATTCCACACAAACTGAGCATGTGGCCATAAATACACAGCTTGAATGCAATCATGTGATGTGAAGAAAGCACAAAGAAGATCAGAATAATAAATCAAAGGACTTGCCTTTGTACATGAAAGATGACAGTGGATACCGTAGACCAAGAGTGGCCTCAGTAAAAGATTCCACAAAGTCTTCTAACATCATGAGCCCCAGGTCTTTCCCACGACACTTCTTTCTTACAAACATTGTGTCCAGCACTGGTAGCTGGTAACAGTGAGTATGGTATGGGCTTAAAGCAGCTCCTGAATTAATAGAAACAAAAAATATCCGTAATTATTTCAGTAGATTTTTAGAGTATTTTTAGAGTATCTAGATAAGGACTTAAAGACCTCATTTTGCCAGTCACTGTGAACCACATCAAAAGCAAGAAAAAAAACAAACAAGCAGAAAACAAAAATGAAAAACCACAACCCTTTCTTCTAATAAGGAAAGAGAGAGAACCAGAGAAGCATATAGTTGCCTATAAGATATACTTGAGACTAACAAACGTGCTTCATTTTAAAAATGAGGACAGATAGTTCTATCAGTCAGATGCCCTCTGGCAAACTTGTCAAGCTCCAATACTCTTTCCTAACCACCTGTATCTAAAGATCTCCACATGGGCTCCTCACTTGGAAAGTACAACATAGAATCAAATGTAGGTAAAATACTGGTAACACCTAGAAAAATTAGCTTTCTTTGCTGACTTGGCTCAAACTAAGTGGCAGAGAATCATAAGTATAGTAAAACAATACCACATGTACAACTATTCCCTTTCTAGCCTCAAAGTACTATTTTAACTTTCACCTTGATAAGGTGAAAATAAAAAGCACAGCAATGCAAATATCATTTTGTGACCATCACACAACAGCAATTTTGACATTAAGAAGATCCCAAGACGTACACCAATTACACAATGCTTCATTTCTTTAAGACAAACAAAAAAAATATATCAGAGAAAGGTAACAGACAGTCAAAATAAATTAGCTGGTTGTTTTCCTGTGTTTCATGCTGTACCAGAAATGTCAATATGTCAACTCAGACAGTTTAATACAGTATTTGCAAACTGCTAGAAATACAGTATGAATGTCAGATGGAGGAATTAATCTATTTAATCACCAAATGTTATTTCCGAAAAATTCAAAAACATAGTGAAGTCTAAATCAACTAGAAATAAATTCTAATTTTTAGAAAAACAGGAAAAACTACATGGAAATCCATAATATAAATGACATAAACCTGTAGCTGAACTGTAGACTCTGAAGCAATACACATGTAGAAAGAAGAAAATACCTTTCTTACCATCAAGCATAGCTGAATCTCATGTCTGTGAGCAAAGCTTTTATGCTGCAATGCTATAAAACATTTAAGTGATTGTAGAATAGGAAGCCACTTTCAGATAAATGAATTTTCAGGTTTCTTTTTTCTTAACCCAGTATCACATTTCAAACAATCCTAGATGTATAGTCCAAAAGTAAGTACTCTACAAAGAACATAAATCTCTCAAATATACCTCTCAAATACACAAATATTCTATGGCTTTCAATGTATTTTGTAGAACACGAAAAAAAAAATTAAAAATTAACTAAGAGCGACTAGCAAGAAATTTTAACTGCAATCTGGCTTTTCTTGACTTCAGGAGAACACCAACTCACTAGACCTGCAAGGCTCCTAAGGCTATTTTTCCAAATAACCTCCTTATCTCCATTCCCCATTTTCCCCTAGATCCCACAGTTCATAAGTGTTTTACCTGCAGGTTTAACAGAATAGAACCCAACAGCCTCTCCTTTTCTCCACATGATCTTAGCATAGTCATCACTGCTGTGACAAAGGAATGGGGTCTCGTTTCTCTCCATTTCATTTTTGCGATAGATAATTCGATTCAGAACATACAGAACTACCCTCTCCCCCACAGAATTCACCTAAAGAAATACAGAATAACATTTCAGAAGAGTGATCAATTCAGGTGATACACAGCAGATTTTTTATTCTTCAAACTTGCCAGCTAACAAATCTGTAAATGGAGTGAAGACAAGCAGTAAGAGCTCCTAGGTTTGAGAGCTTGGATGTACTTCCATGCCATAGCAAGTTAAGTATAAAGCACTACCACAGACCGAGTATCTTGCACAACAAGTCAATCCCAATCCATTGTCAATGTCAGTGTCAATCCCAATCCAGTGGATAAAAGCTGAGAGAAATACCAGGGTGTGTGTGAGATGGGGAACATTTTAACTGAAAACTGTTGTCGCCACAATAGCATTATGGCAGGCTCAGATTTCCCAGGCTAGCAGGTAACTGAAATCCTGAGGTGGCATGACAAAACATGCTGGGTAGCAGGATTTAGCACACTCAATCACTGCTGACACAAGTGGTAGGCAACCGGGTGCAATGCAGTGGAAAAACCAGTTGCAGCATTTTCTGTGGGACAAAACAAGAAATTCGATTCCCTTTTCTCATCCCACAGGGTTTCTCTCACAAAAGTGATTTAAATTTACTATTATCCTAACCACTGTAAAGGAAGAACGAACTGTGTTCCCTTCCCAGTGCCTAAAGCTTCAGCTATCCCACCTCTAGAGATTCAGCTTTTCTTGTTGCACACCATCCTACACTTATGGAGAACACAGAAAACAGTGCAACATACCAAATTTTTCTAGAGTAAATCTAATACAAGATCCAAAAACTGCCCAAATTCCACCTGCAGGTAAAAATGAAGTTCCTGGAAAGACAGAGGTTTCCAGTTTCAGGAAAAAAAAAATCTGTATAACTATGATACACAAGTCAGTAGTCTTGACAAAGTTCAATGAACAAAAAAAGCAGATACCAAACAACTTGTGTTCCCAAACCCCATGTGTTGCCTACTGCAAAACACTAGCTCCAATGCTTCTCTATCAAACAGGTTCCTTTCAATATTTTACTTTACCAGTTTCCCAGTAAGACTGATATGTATTCCTATAACACAGTGCACCACAGTAAGATGTTCCAGTATAACCAAATACACTGCATTCTGAAGAGTAAGGAAAAAACATTTCATAGAATCATAGGTGTTGGAAGGGATCTCTGGAGACTATCTAATCCAACACAGGAAAGCATCCAGGTGGGTACTGAATATCTGCAGAGAAAGCGATTTCACAAACTCCATGGGCAGCCTGTTCCAGTGCTCTATCACCCTCAAAGTGAAGAATTTATTTTGCCCATTGCCTCTTTTCAGTGCTCTGCAGCAACAGGACAAGAATCTGATACCATTCATTTGGGTCCAGTACTTCAGATATTTTTAAAAGTATTTAAAGTCACCTCTCAGTCTTCTCCAGGCTGAATGCATCCAGGTCTCTCAGCCTATCCTCATATGGGAGATCCTTCAGGCTCCTAATCATCTTTGTAGTGCTCCATTGGACTCTTTCTATGTAATTTTTCTTTTTTTTAAACTGGAGAGCCCAGAACTGGATATAGTACTCCAGATGCTGTCTTGATAGCACAGAGTAGAGAAAGGAAGTTCACCTCCCTCAGCCTACTGGCCACACTCTTTATAACGCATTCCACTTAATGATGTCCTAGCACCACTATCATGGAAATACCCTGCATACGTACTTAATGCACTGAAGTGCTCTGTAAGCACTTTCACTAGAAAATTCTCTTCCCACTAGTGCCTACTTCTTTCTCCCTTGTTTTCTTACGTAAGATAGCTAACTCATTTCTGAATAGAGTAAAAGAGTGTATTATCTCAGACAGTAGTCAGTTGCCATCACATTACATTATGTTGAAGGATAGAAACAAGTGCTAGGTAAACACCATAGAACTTTACCTGCTGAAGCCCCTCTCTAGAAGAAACAGATGTTCTCAAAATGTCATCAATCGACCACCACTGGTAAGCAAGAAACAGGGCTACAGCTTGAGAGAGTCAACAGGGAAAAAAATGTTAGTGATTCTTATCATTCCAAAAGAAGATATTCATTATAGCTGTCAAACAATCAGGAATACCACTATAGTAATCAAAGTAAACATCTACTACTTGGCACTAGATTAAATGCAACTTTCACTACTTTAGCACAACATTCCTGGTGTGACACATCCCCCTCGTCCCTATCCCTTACGCAACTGTCCCATTAAAATCTTGCTTTAAAAACAAAAGCAGTAAAATTAGATGCAAATTTTGTACACTGTAACATACAGAAACTGCTTTTCAGACATAAATGCTGTCCTTCACCACTGTACTCTATTACCTCTTTTCATCACAATCTTGGCCTGCCAAGGAGTATAGTGTGTGCCCATACTTTATTTCTGGGTTGTGAATGGATATAGATACTGAATGGATATAGATACTGAATGGATAGATACTGTTCTAGAGAGTCACATGAATGTAAGAAGGCCAAATGATTAGTGTTTAGGAAGAGTTTGCTCTACTAGCATTTATGGCACACTTGGATATCATATACCTAGTATTATATGGAGGACTGTAAGGGAGAAAAGGGAAAAAAAAACACAAGGAAAAGTGAGGAAAAAAAAATACATATATTTATATATCAGTGAGATGCCATCTTAGCCAAACTACGTCAGGAACTAAAGGTAAAAACAAATTCACAAATGGTACTGATTAATCACTTCTAATCAAAAGATTCTAAGTTCATCAGCAAATTAATGGATTTATGAATACTCAACAAATTATTTGGAGAGGTGATGTGTAAATCCAACTAATCAAGAGACACATATTGTACTTTGATTCAGATGAGTATTGTGTTATTATGCTACACATACTGTGTATTCAACAAGTCCAGCCTTACTCTAATTAGCAGGCAAAGTTCAATCACTTGTGTACATGAATTCACAACAACAAGAATAGTATAGGAACAAGTAGGCAGTAAACAACTAATACAGAAGTCGCAAAGTTATAAGCTATGCTAGTGTGGAATAAGCAAGGGGCTGGTTACATGTATTCATCACAGAAAAAGAAACAACACGGATTAGAATCTTAAAATGAAACCTGTGAGAGAGTCCTCTGGTGCAAACAAAGCAAGAACTTTGTGTGTCTGCTCTCCACCATAAAGAGGAACAAAGCCCACAGTTGACAAGCTAATAGGAATCTGAAACAAGAGAGCACAATACTTCAATAGACTCTTACTAATACAACATTAGTAAAATATACGGAGAATGGTTTAGCAAGATTAATGCTGAAAACCAAGTGCTTAATGGCTAATTATAAAAGAGAAGCATCAGATCCCAGCCATCACTTCAGACATTCTTCCTAGAAAGATTACATCACAAAAAGCTCAAACTCAAGTTCTGCAGATTCAGCCACAGTAATTTATACTGTTACAGCTCTTTGCTGATTGCAGCTTACTATGCACAACTGCAGTAAAGGGTCTTTATCTGCTCCAGCTATGTAAGCTCCCAAAGCCAACAGAAGAACAAAGCAGGCAGGTAGGCACAAAAACAATCTGGCACAGCTGAACTGCTGTTTGTTAACATGAGCCCTGATGTACCAAGGTAGAAAGGCTTGATTCAAAAGCATCTTCTTCACTAAAATTGCACACCTTTAGGAATCTCAGGTTTGCCTGCTTGATTTTCCCCTCAGCAACAGCATAAGAATGGTCAAATAAATCAATCTTAGGGGAGCTGATACCTTTTTGAAAATGCGTTTTGCTATTTAAATTCACGTTTTCAGTATTTTGTTAACAAAGACTAGACAGAAGTTAATGCTGTGTTAAATAGACTTTCTTTTCTAGAAAACAATTTGAAAAGGATTATAATATGCTGTATCACTAACCATGACATTAACACAAATACAGCACCTGCAGAAATACATGAAAGTACCCAAGACTGCAACTGCAATGGAGCCTTCAGCATTAACCTTTTAATCTTATACAGAATCCTCTCAGCAATCTCATCTTTCATTAAAGCTAGCTACATGCTGCTGTTTTTATTGGTACTACTAGAAATGTTCATCTAAATAGAATCAACATCATTCAAGGGTTAAGTGTTTAAAATACAAAATGACATAGTCAGCCTCTGCCAGAATTCCTAACAACTGCAGTGAACATTTTTCATAAAAAGAAAATAATCACTTCTGAAATCAGTGACATTTGTTAATCAAAAATTGAATTCTGCAATGAAGATCACTGGAAGAGATGCCACGAAGATCACTGGAAGAGATGCAGACTGAGGCATTTAGTTTCAGTAAATCATGAACCCTTTAACTATCCATATAGATACATTGCCTAGAATCAGTAAATATTAACACCCAGATTTATTGCAATTACAGAATAAAACAAATAGAAATTTAGATATTTCTAAATAGATATTTAGAAAAAACGATGCTTAAATATCAAAATATACTGTTGATATAATTCAACAGTTATAAGACAGGTATTTTTAAGTATTTTAAATCCACAGGTGTATCAAGAGAACCAGGACAAAGTTATTTGCTCATTCTTACTTTGCTGTGGTCTGACAGGGATAAGAACTCAGGCTGATTTGGATCCCCGCAACGAAGTTCAGACAAGTAGTCCTCTGCAGAGCTCTCCAAGTCTTCATGAGTGTAGCCATTCAACATATCCACAGGGAATGCCATTATCTTGGAAAAAAAAAAAAAAAAGAAAGAAAACCTATCACTGGAGATAGTTTGAGGGAAACAATGCATAGTCTATTACTCATAGCTATGAAAAATTAAAAACTAAGATAGATATATAATCTCCTTGGCTGCTGTCTGAAGAGACTGTTCAAATCAAGCACCGAGCATGACTTAACCTTGGCTATACAGTTTAGTTTTCCAAACAAGTACAGCCTAGGGCAATAAAGACAGTGATGTCTTCAAAAACAAACTTAGTTTTGCCTCTTCTTCCTCACCCCTACTCCTCTCCACAGTACTTATGTGTCATTTCAACGGCACAAAGTATAACCATATCTTTCACATTCAAGCCAGAGGGGAGAAAAGATTCCGGCATGTTAATTAGGATGGTGCCTATTAACATCCAGTCGGTGAAGAGTTCATGAGCCCAAACAGCGCTCAATAAGCGGAAGAGGAAGGCTTCAGTCTGTGTGTATGGGACAAGCAGGCAGAAATGTGACAAGTCCATTCTTTAATTCTGAGGTGTGTCATTCACCTCAAGACTCACTTCTCACCAGGCCTCCTTCACACCTATCACTTCTGACTTGAAATTCAAGACAACAGAATCTAAACATCAGAGAAACTTACCAATATCTTCAACACTTGCTGGCTAGCTTGTGCCAGCCAGCATCTCCCTCCAACACTTCTGTTAGCACCTCCTTTCACATCAGCACTTACGAGAAGTCCTTCCCAACTCTTTGTTATACCCTTCAGTGCAAGTAACTCCAGCTGCAAGCCACATGCCACTCTGCACCTCCTGCAAAAGCAGTGCATGGATGGACGGCCCAGCCGCTATCAGGAGACAGGACAGAGCCATGGGCAGAGCTGCACTGTTGTCTTCCTCCTAACCTATGTTACTGAAGCCACAGAACAACACAGCAACAAGTGTCCAGATGGTTTCAAAGTAAGCAGCTCAAAAATAACAAGAGGAAGAAGCAGCTGATTTACTTTGGAGAGCTCGCATTTAATTATCTGAAGAAGTTGATTTGTTATGCAGAACTTCCCTACATAACTGGCCGCCCAGACCGGCTAGCAGCTGGCTATTTCCAGAATATTTCAACTGCGAACAGGATATGTTACAAGCTAGTTAAAAATCAGAGCCCCCCAACAGACTAACAGGACATTTCAGGGAGGTGACAAGGTAAGAACTAAAGCACTGACACCACAGGAGCAAGATCTCCTTGAATACTCTTCAAGATCTTGTTGAAGTAATTTCAGATTGAAATGAATGTGAACACCTGAAAAACACTGAATTTTCCTCTTTTAAAGTCTTTCCAGGTCTACACAACTATACACAGACCCACCAGGAGCTCCTTTCATGTTAGAGCTCAAACTCCCTGAACTACAAACTAGCACCAGTTCATGGGTTTAATCTCTTCTGGAGGAACCATTCATCAAGTGATCTTCTCAGGGCTAGCAGATACAAACACACCAACAATGTTTTAACACACATTTTAAACTCACAATTTACACCCAGCTGGAAGCCAGGCACCAGCAGCATTCCCCAAGAGCTCAATTCCAGGGCCTGTTCCATTCCACATTTCTGTCAGTGATTTGGGTGCAGGAGAGTGCACCCTCAGCAAGTTTGCTGACTGACACTGAACTGGGGTGGGCTTTGCTTCACTAGAGGTATGAGGGGCCTTGCAGACAGCTCCCCCACACTAAGTGCATTAACAAAGCACAGACAGATTGTCAAAAGAGAGAATTCTCCAGCTATACTTCGCGTTGGCGCAACCTCATACTTACATTGTATGACAAAAAGGATGTTAATGCATCCATCAAATCAGAGTCCCTGAGGCACTGCTAGAACAACAGACCTCATTCAGAAGTTGTGGCCACTGCACTGGTGTACAGTCCCAAGCAGGAACTGTTGAGCTTTGAAGAATATATAATGCTGCATCAGTCTGAGTTAATGTTAGCCTTTCAATATGCCAGATGAATAGGTATGAAATGTGCTTAGGTTAGCCAATATGTTGCTAGAAGATTTTTGTGTGACTCCTCTGTGGGTAGTAAGTCCTGCAGCTGTGAAGCCTCTCATAGCTGCTGCAGAATTAACCATCAAAATGCATTTTGGGAAACTTGAAGCATCCAGGAGGGAACATAGCTGGCAACAGGGCAGGAAGGCACATCCTGTAAGGAGGCTGAGGACACTCGTGTTGCCTAGCCTGGGGAAGAGGAGGCTGAGAGGACCTCAGTGCTCCCTGCAGCTCCGTGAGGAGGGGAAGCAGCAGTGGTGCCAGACTCTCCTCCTGGGAATTGACAGTAGACTGGGAATAGCACAGAGCTGCCAGGGGAGAGTCAGGCTGGGCACTGGGAAACATTTCTGTGCCATGAGAATGGTCAGACATTAGAACAGGCTTCATGGATAAGCGGCTGATTTCTGTGCTTGTCAGTACTCAAGAGACATTGGACAATGCCCTCAGTAATGTGTTTGACCTTCAAGGTAGTTCTGAAGTGGTCGGGCAGCTGGACTCAGTCCTTGGAGGGCCCTTCTAACTGAACTGTTTTATCCTAATTTTCTCAGTCATGGTCAAGTGCCAGAGGCAGTCAGACAGACTTAACTGCCTCACTTTGAAGCCTCTTCCTAGCTTTCAGTTCCTTCCACAGTAAGCTCTGGATCCATTTCACTGACGTTGAACTCCTAACTGGAGTTCCATATCAGAAGCATTGCTCATCTCAGCTGCTCTTCTTACAAATTCCTATACTAGGTACACTTATCTCCCAATTGATGGGTGAGACACTGCAGCTCTGTACATCTTAAATGGCTGATGGTCAGGAAGAGTGAATGAAAGCTTATAATCAAGTCTGTTCAGGACAAAACTGCACTAACGGTGTTATTTCGTAACATCAAGAAACAAAGTCAAACAGCTTTCACCAAACACCTAACAAATTTAGAACCCTTAGTAAGTGTACCATCTTGATAGAGACACACTGCAATAGCTACAGTCTGAACAGGACGTCACGTGAGGTTTGAGACTGTCACTGCTTCCACAGTAGGATGAAGATTTATCACCTGGTTGGCTGCAACAGCACAACACTCCTGCTGCTTTGCTGGAAAAAAATGGAAATTCTCTGTCTGCAGGCAGAAAGAAAAGAAGAATTATTAAAAAAAATCATTAAACTGCTTAGATAAACCTAAGAATAACAGATGAGTGAGCCGAGTTTTTGCTTTTATATGACAAAGAAACATTTGAGTTACAAGTTAAAACTGAAAGCCTCTAGGTAAAAATTCCTGAAATGTTTCATAATAAAGTAGTGTGTGTCCAAAAGGAAAAAACATGTAGTTAGAAGTTTAGTAATCATCTGAATTATGGTCCTGACATCACTTAGAAAATTAAAGCAACAATCATATCTTTGCTTATTAAAAAAAGAGGCCAAAAACTGCTTTCCACTAAATAATAAATTCAATGAATTATTTTGAGAGTAATTTTACGATCTTCCTACTCAGCTGTTTGGATTATTTTCTATTTTTGTATAGTTCATTAATTACATCTTCACCCAAAATAACTGTATTAATAACTTTTTCATCCTATACCATTTCAAGAGACAAGAATGTAGGTCAGTTTTCAAGAGTGAACCGTCACAGAGAACTCAACATTCCTGCTTAATAATCACTTACTATTTGCATCATGAAACAGATTAAACATGTAAAGTCACAATTTTTTTTTTTTTTTGGTATTACTTCTGCCTTATGGTTGGTAAGGTCTAAAATATTTCACAACATATCAATTCACTAGATTCCTGAATAAATCATTAACTATATAGTTACAAAACCATACTGAAAGCACTGAAGAACTGGTAAATGATTGCCCCATGCTAATCTACAGAAGATCATACAAAAGTGGTCTAACAATCCGAAATGCAAGCATCTGCATTTTGAAAGGCAAACTAACCTAACAAAAACAAAGTAAATGACTATCAATAGTAATAAACCAAAAAACTCCCCAAATTAAACCACAATTGCATTGTTAGGATCTTTAAAAAAATACAAGGTACAGATGGGTCCATAAAGACTCTCAAGCAAAGTGTGAAAGAGAAAGAGGAAGGAAAGCTGTTCTGTTTTTCCTGAAAAGAGCATCATGCGTTTTTCTATACTGCAGCAGGAACAGCACAGGTCTCAGCCATGAAGTCCACCATATCCTTTTTTGTTGCTCTAAGCCTCCACGCGTAGCATTACTGTAAAACTGTCAGGTCAAATCCTTATCATATGCTGCGGGATCATGCTCTGCTCATGAGGTGCCACTCCAATTGGCCAGCCAACAATCAGGCTGACTGCACACACACGATGCAGCCTCAAGCAACCAAACTCATCACAACCATTTGTATTAAATAAATACCAGAAAGAAAGAGGAGGATTTTTTTTTCCAAATGAGGCAAGTTATTCTTTTAACGTTAACTGAAAGAAAATAAACCTTAAACTCTTCATAACCATATATTTTCACATAATGGCATTAAAGACTGTACATAATAAGCAAACACAAGCAATATTTGCTTTAATTTGGAATTTTATCACATTTCCTTTTCTCAGCACTACACAAGTTACTACATGAGAAATGGCATGTCCTTTTTGGGAACATCTGCAGCAACAAAGGATAATAGATCAATTCAACAAACAATAAAACCACATTTAACAGGATGAGTAAAGCACATTCCTGTGCAATTGAGGTAGTTCTTAGCTCACAAAATCTTCATTAGTGTAAGCATTAAGATTGAATTCTTTTTTCTTCTAGATAGAGAGTAAGCAGGTAGCCTTGCAAGCTGATTTAAACGTCAGTTACAGCTGCAGTACCAGTGCCATCTTAGAAGCATATGAAGATGAAGGAAGACAAAGGACAGAGGCTCAGACCACACAGCTTCCAGCCCATATCAGGATTTCAGCAGACTCTGGAAATCAAGGGATGCAGTCATCCCACTCTAGATCTTCAGTAGTGAATGCCATTATATGACAAAAATAAGAAGCCAAAAAGCTATACTGTTCCTTGCAGCTATTTAACAGAGCACAAATACAGTTTAAAACCTACTTCGTGTGCCTTTGTCTTAGTGGTACTGAAGTCCAAGTGGTCAGGCAGCTAGCCAAGGCTTTAGAGGAATGAGGATAAATTTACAGCTCTGGCAGACTTAATGCAAGTGAAGACATATTACCTGATCTGCATCAGCTCCTCACCTACGAAGTTGTATTAATCAGTACCTCAGAAAGATCAGAGTGAGAATACTTCACCAAGACCATGAGATACTCCAATAGAACTTTACTAGAAGTATGCTTGAACGATACAACTTAAAATCAACAATCCACTAGCAAGCTTTCAACATAAAACAACTGACCACAGATGCATAAAATTAAATTAACTGCTGCATAACTTATCAATCTTCAGACCTGAATTTGTATTTAAAAATGGTAAATTTGTTCTTCTTTAAATTAGAATTTGAAACTAGCACCACACACATCATGCTGCTCGAGCTATGATCAGCAGAACATTTTTGCTAAACCAGGGCAACTTCTCCAACCACAGCCAATGTACACGTATGCAGTGGGTTCACTCCTGTAACAAAGTTCTGGCCTACTCTGACAAAAAGTGAACTTCAGTGCAGCCTGTTAAAGTATTTAGACTATCAGTAGAGTACTGCATCACAGAACTGCTCAAGGACTCTTGTACACCTCTCATTAACACTGATACAGAAGCCCATCTACATGCTGCACCGGCAGCAGTGTGAGAAGAAACTTAAATTACAGACTAAATCTCCCAGTGCAGCTTCTGTCACTCCAGAAAAAAAACAAGACATGGGATTGTGCAAGTCCCGAGTCTGCTCCAGCACCAGAGCTGATGATGCACTAAGCTGACAATCCCCTTCTCAATCGCAGCAGCATTTCTGTTTTGCTATGTTTCCCATCTTGCTACGTTCAATTGCTAGGTCAATGAAAGTGGAAGACACATAAAAGTTGAAATAACAATAAAAAGCAATTAAAAAGAAGTAGTGTATTTAATTTTCCAGCTTACAGTAAAAAAACAAAAAACATAACACACGATTCCTACCACTAAAATAATAAAAACTGTTTAGTTCTACTATCACACTGTTCTATTAACAAACACATTCCACAGCTGTTTTTTCTTGCTTAGACTATCAGCTGTAACATACACAAAATCTTCCCATCACTTCTGCTTCTTTTTTGTTCCGAATTACCTACTTCAAAGATGAATGGGGAGGTGTTTGTAATGTATTGTGCATTTGGACTTTTCACTCATTTCTATCCCAACAGAGTCTGAAAAGATTAGCTTAAAAGGTTATTCATCCTTTTGTAATATAAAAACCTAAATTTTAAACTCGCGCTAAGGTACTCTCCATACAGATTTAAATATCAATTATCTGTCTTGCTTATTACTAACTCTGTGGTTTGAAATACATAGGGAATGTCTGTACAACAACCAATTTAGGTTACTAACCTAACAGCTTTCATATTTTATATTTATTTCTAATCCTTAAAACTGTTCGTTTTAATTTGCAATGTAACAAAGACTGAAGCAAGAAGACAACATTTCAGGGAAGAGATGTTGCTTTTTAAGCAACAGAATATAAATTAGGATTTCTTGGAAAAAAAAATATCTTACAGGCTTGAGGAATTAACAATATGCTACTTGATCTGCCACACTGAACAGACAACTTCAACCCTGCCCACTCAATAGCCACAAATTTGAAGGGAGGTTTTCTTGGATTTTAATTCCAGAAGTTTGCTTTTGTATATTCCTTAAGTATGTTTCCAAACATCATCTGCATCATACTAATAATGCATATAAATATCATTTCCTGCTGCACGGGTTTTGTTCAAATTCTTAGAGAAAACTGTCCTGTCAATTTTAAATACAAGTTCTTGCCAGCTCAGATAAATTTGCCCTGGCTTGGAGAGGTTTGTTTTTTTAAGTAGAAGGAAAAATATTTTCATCTACCTCATTTATTTTGATAGGAAACCGGAGTAAACTCTAAATAACAACCTCCCAAAGTTACAAAGACCCAACCAACAACAACAAAACCTTATGGAAGCACAGGACAGTGATTTAAAAACTGCTGTCAACATTCATTGAGCACTCTGGATTACTGTGTCAACCACAAAATCCATAATCTGCTGGAAGCAGCTTATGCAGCTCTGGTTTTCTATCACAGAGAAATGAAAGCAGTTCATTTAAATGTAAATACAATCAGTCTTTGCCATCCATTAATTAGCCACCATAATTTAATTTACTTGCATAGCATAGAACTATGAGATCTACACGAAGGATCTATTCCCCAGTTCTGCTATAAAATGACTTCAGTTGAGGTAAGCAAGAACTATGGCTGAAAGGTTTATTTGTCTGGGTTCATACAATATCTTGTGGAATTAAATGCTGACTAAGGAAGAAAAAGAGGTCTTTCACATTTATAAGTACTGGCATATGGCCTGTTTTTCCTTTAAAAGAAAGTGGAAAGTACATTAATTTCTGTACAATGCAATCTTTTTTTTTTTTTTTTTTTTTTTTTTTAAACATGTCATGAAACATGTAATGAAAATATATATTAAAAAAAAAACAAACAACATGTAATGAAAATATTAAAATCTGGTAGCTACAGAAGACTAAACTGTTGCCAAAATCTAATTCTGCAGAACCAGATAAAAATATATAACAAGTAAAATATATACACAGTAAAATATACACACAATATTAAGAAGTGCCTTTAATTAAATGAGAGTTTCTCTTACAGTAAACACGACTCCTGAGGTCAGCTTCAAATGAAACATGAAAACAGGAAAAATAGGAAATAATGAAAATAGGACGGGGATCTTACCAGTTGTCAAAAATAACACCACAGGACAGAATTAGGAGACTCGGTTATGCAACTACACTCTAAAACCCACCACAGCTAGGAAAGGTTCTTAAGCAGACACTTGATTAAGCACCAGACTGACACTGTTGATGTTTTCCTCAAGTGATTAAAATTAGGCATTAGGTTATGTAGCATATTCAGTCAAAGACTAAGTGCTTCAGTATACAAAATACTAACCTGTTATTTACATTCTCCTGAACATTTAATGAGATCATCACTTGG